TTCAGGAACTCCTAGAACCCGAATGTTGGGTTTTTTAATAGTATCCTGAAGATTCCCGACAATATGTTTTAGATTTCTAATTTCCTCGTCTTTTCTTTGGTCTGACTGTATCCTTTCCTGTTCTCTGTCTTCTAAGTCCGATATTCTCTCTTCTGCTTCACCCATTCTGTTTGTAAGGCTCTCTATTGTGTTTTTCATTTGATCTATTGAATTCTTCACTTGAGTCACTATCACAGTTTCCTGTTGTACTAGTTGTTTTGTTTCATTTTGATTCCTCCTTAATATTTCATTTTCACGAGAGAGATTTTCTATCTTGTCCATTAAGGATTTCTGTAGTTCAAGAATTTGTTTTTGAGAACTTATTAATGTTCTTATCAATTTTTTGAGATCTGCTTCTTGCATTCCTTCTATGTCATCATCTTCATAATCTTGAATTGGGGTGTCTTTTTCATTTGAGGGCGTCATGGTGACTTCCTTGTTTTTATTACCTCGGTTTTTGCGTTTGTTATTTGGCATATTGGAGATATTTGGTTTCTTCACTGTGGTGCTTTTTCTTGTTATACTATGACTCTAGATTAAGTGGACTATCTGTTTTTGATGGCGCCTTAGGGCTTGAGATGGGTGTGGCCTGAGAGCTCTGTTTGGTGTGCCAAAGGCAACACTCCCAGGTTAGGCGTGGTAAATCTCTCTCTCTCTCTCTCTCATTATGATTTATATTTTGTATATCTTGATTCAAAAGAGAAGTAATTCCGCACAGCTGAATGAAGTTGGAGGTAGTTAGCAGGCAAATGATATACCCACAGGAGCCAGAGATCGGAAGCTCTTTCCTAAGGACCACACAGGGAATCTGTTCAGCCCTCAGAGTGGGCTCAAATTCTCCTTCAGTCTCCCACTGGGTTGCCAAAGTTACGGAATTGTAGCATCTCTGGAGAGTGCTCACATGAATTCCGTGAGTTCTCTCCCCCACCGTCTCTTTTTTCACAGTCTCAGTTCAGTAGCACCACAAATTTACTAGGTCCTAATCTCCTGTTAATTCGCCCCGCCCAGAGTCAGGTTTTTCTGCTAGGCTCAGGGCTGGTGCAGACCTGAGGTCGCTCTGCTTATGACGTATGTCCAAGATGGCGCCTGCTCTTTGTCTTGCTCGCCCTTGAGAGGTGAGCGGAGAGAGAGAAACCCGTGTCTGTACCAGTCACCTTTTTTTTTTTCTCTCTATCTCTCTTCCAGTTAGCCTGGTGAACTCCCCCCCCCCCCCCCCCCGGGGGTCGTTCCCTCTAGTCTCCTCTCTCCGCTTGCCTGCCGGTGTCTTGGGCTATTGAGGTTCGGCTCACCTCGCGTTCCAGTGCTGGTGTGTTGAGTCTGCCGCTGGTGTCCCGAACTGTGGGCTCCCACTCTCTCCACGCAGGTCCGCTGTGAATCACGCGTTCCGAAAGAGTTTCTTCTGCTGTTTCCTCCCCTACTCTTCCTTGAACCTGCAGTATCTCCACTTTTATTAAACTGTCTCTCCCCGGACTATCAGTGTGCTCCCTTCCTATTCCGCCATCTTGCCTCATTTCTCAAATGACATTCTAAAAGATGAACACTTCTCCTTTCTTTGTTTGTCTTTCAGCAAAATTTGAGATGAGAGCTTTGTATTTATTTTGGCTAATATGACCAGATAAATCTTAACATAAATAAAGGACCATCATGCGCATAGTAATGTAACGCTTGTTTCAGCAAGAGAGAGTTATTTTAGGGACACACTACACTAGAACCTAACAGCAAAGATAGCCTATCTTTTAGCAGAATCTATCTGTTGAGATTTTGATGAAAACAGTCAATTCAAACAGACCCGGGCTTTCATTAGTGTGAGAGAGTTTGAGAAATGTTGACCTCTTACTCGGTTCATAGGTACAGCAATTTATGTCCCGCGTTGCCAGTGATCCTGTCTTCATGTTTTTGAAGGCTCATTTCTGGGTCTGGTTAACTTGCAGCCCTGAGAGGCTGACTCAGATAAAAATCTAAAGCTCTGTGTCTGAAATGCCTGCTGGCCCACCTAGTAGGCTTGTGTAGAGATATCAGCTGGATCACTTGCCATTCCTGAACATGGTCATGACTCATTTTCAGACATTTGTGCATACATACACCATCATAACCAACATGTTGTCTTCTTATGGCTTGGTCATAATGTTGGGTTTTTAGCCATTTGGGGATCTTTCAAAACGCCTTACACTAGAAAGCTAGTGTAACATCTCTTACACAGTAGGAACGTCATAGTTATTTCTAGTGACAGGAACTGCTAGACTCTGGGTGTTTCCTGTGAGAGTAACATCCATCATAATAGTTTTTTTTTTTCCTTCAAAATAGAAAGACACAGTACTCATGGAAAAAAATGAAGTCAAAGATAAGTTGATTTCAGTGTAAAACATTTTTGAATCTATGCATTTTATGAGCATTTTCTTTCTTTTTTTAAGATTTATTTTGTTTATTTGAAAGAATTACAGAGAGAGAGAGAGAGAGAGAATAGAGATAACTTCCACCTGCTGATTCACTCCTCAAATGGCTGCAATAGCCAGGGATAGGCCAGACCAAAGCCAGGAGTCAGGAGCTTCTTTCAGGTCTCCCACGTGGGTTCAGAGTCCCAAAGACTGGGGCCATCTTCTGGTGCTTTCCCAGGTACATCAGCAGGGAACTGGATTGGAAGTGGAAGAGTGGGGATTCCAATGAGCACCTATATGGGATGTCAGCATTGCAGGCAAAATCTTCACTTGCTATGCCATATGCCATCCTTTATGAACCTTTTAAAGACCTTTTTTTTGGTATGGATTTCAAAGCATTTTTGCACTGAAGTAAACATCTTTTAATTCAATTTTACACAAACATTTTGAAGTATCTTCATGTATAAAGCCATAAATTGATCTTACATAAGTAAAATATAAATGAATATCACAGAATGAGAACAGTGAGATTTACCAAAAATGATATCTCTAGTACACATTTTTGTCTAGATATATTTTTGCCTTTTCAAACAAGTGACAAATTTCAGTTTGAACAAAAGTAATTTCTGTATCATCTTCTTTAGAACCTAAGCTGCACCTTTACATGTAGCCCCTCGTTCTGCTCCTACTCGCATTTCCTGATCTGCAGAGACCCAAGCTGAAATTAAAAGGGAGGACGGGAAGTTTCTGAACTATACCTGCTGTCTCTGTGACCCATTCAGTTATAATCGCTTCTCTAAATGGAATGATTTTCCTTTCCAGAGGGATTTCAAAAGCTTAGTGCCATCTACCATGTCTGCTGTTTTCACGCAGACTGTTTCTGGGAGTCCTTAGAGTTACACATTTCTTAAATTTTGATGGAATCCTAATCAACCTAATTTCCTTCACTATTTCATCTTCCTTGGCCATGTTTCTGTCTGGCATCTGTTTTCCGTCCTCATTTATGAACACTTAGGCAGATAATCACATTAAAGAGATGCCGTCAAGGTATTTTTCCCTCATATCTAGAATCTTCTTTATATTGGCTGTTATTTGTCCTTTGAAACATCCGTTTTACAATTTTTTCCATTAGCAATGAATATGAACATTACTTATAGGTCACAATTGATTTTTTTATGAGGGAATATTGCTACAGCTAAATTGATGCTTTTGTTGAAAATAAATTTAAGGTACTTTAGGTTTTCCCATAACCTTTAAAATCTAGATCAAATTACACAGGGCCTTGACAGAGTCCCTGTTTCTGTTTAAATTAGGCTTTCTTTCCTTAAGTGTTCTGTCTTCCTCTTTCAGAAACTTTTCTGTTCTTACTCAATGTCTTAGCTGTAACAGGATATCAATTGTTTTATGCTCATTAGAATAAAAATAGGTCCTACGGTGATTTCAAATCATTTCCATTTTAAAGCTAACCCCAGCCTTTTTCATTTCCATGTCCTGGATCCTCCTTCTGCCTAGTAAGATCTGTGCACCTCAGATGGAAACAAATCCTGTGTGATGGAAGTGCAATAACTTTTACTGTCCCCATATTTCATATGTAGAATATGATCTGCACATAATTTAGGAAATGCAGCCATCATCCAGCTAATGAGGAGGGAAACTGAACCTGAACCTAAAAGGTTGGGCTTTTGGCTGGCGCCGCGGCTTACTTGGCTAATCCTCCACCTGCAGCACTGGCACCCCGGGTTCTAGTCCCAGTTAGCGTGCCGGATTCTGTCCCGGTTACTCCTCTTCCAGTCCAGCTCTCTGCTTGGGCCTGGGAAGGCAGTGGAGGATGGCCCAAGTGCTTGGGCCCTGCACCCGCATGGGAAACTGGGAGGAAGTACCCAGCTCCTGACTTCAGATGGGTGCAGCGCACCGGCTGCAGTGGTCATTTGGGGAGTGAACCAATGGAAGGAAGACCTTTCTCTCTGTCTCTCACTGTCTAATTCTGCCTGTCAAAAAAAAAAAAAAAAAAAGTGGTTGGGCTTTCAACCCAGTGTCCTTCCAGGACATTGTTCCAATGCTTCTCAGCTGCAAGTTCTTTTCTTGGATACTCATGACATTTACTCCATTTACATAACCAAGACAGCAGTATCGGTGTGAATCACATGCATGCTGATGAAATAAACATGAGGACAAACATCAAGTGTCTGTACACTCGCTGCAAAGTAGGCTCGGTTTAAAATTTTCATGGCTGCCTCCTTAATACTTAAGATCCACTAAATTAGTCTGTGGTGTGTGTGTGTGTGTGTGTATGTTTGAATAATGCTAGTATTATGCTTGTCACCAATATGATACAATATTTTCAGAACTTAAATATCCTGGAATGGAAAAGTTGGTTTATAGAATTATTATCAAGAACATTAGCACATGTTGGTGAAGAATATGACCAAAATTTTATAACAGCATAAAGATAATCCCATCGCTAATTATGTAAATGTACATAATTATTTTAAGAAAGCATTGGAATATGCAGGTGCTTATTCTTGTGTGTGTGTTGCAAAGTGTACAAAACTAAGTTAAGATTTCCTTTGGTGTGTGTTGTGGCAGATGGGGAAGATAATGCGTGGACCATTCATGAAGTTTGTAGCACACGCAGCTTCCTTCACCATTTTTCTGGGACTGCTAGTTATGAACGCAGCTGACAGATTTGAAGGCACCAAACTCCTTCCTAATGAAACCAGCACAGATAATGCAAAACAGCTGTTCAGGATGAAAACATCCTGCTTCTCATGGATGGAGATGCTCATTATTTCCTGGGTAATAGGTAAAGACTGATTTTCCTTCATCGTTTTTTTTCACAGCCTTAGCAGTTGTACTGAATGACTCTGATTCTTTCTCACATCAGTTATACAAATGTATGCAGCATGATACAATGCACTGCACACCATGATTTTCTTTGTGTTCTTAAAGCACAGTTGTTTTGGGTTCATTATCAGGGCCATTATCAGTCTTCTCACATGCTAGTGTCTTTTTGCAACTCTTAGAAACATTCAGAAAAAAAAAAAAAACAACAGGATATTTAAATCCCACCGTTGACAAAAAGTGCCATTCATATTTTGGTAGATCTGTAATTCAAAGCTTTAAAACAACCACATGATTTAATGCAAGATTTATTAGGAACTAAAGCTAATAGCCACTCACATTTATTGAACACTTATTATGTACCAAGAATTGTTCAACATACTTTACGTATAGCAAATAAAATAATCTCTCTGTGCCTCAGCTTTTTAATCTGTAACATAGAATAATATCTGTTTAATAGTTTTAGGTGAGGATTAAGTAACTTGCTTTAGATCCCCCAGGTGGTAAGTGAAAGAGAAAGAATTGTCTTAATAAATGAATTATTTCTCTATAGAAGTATATGCATGGCTTGTCACTAAATATAATGTAAATGAGAAAGAAATTTCAGTTGGAGATGTATTAGTAAATAAATTCAATAGCTATTAGGTGTCTATTAGGTAATGAGGACACTCAGGTGAATGATATGCATTTCCTGTGCTCAAGGAAGGGAAGTCTGGTGGAGGGAGACAACTCAGTAAGCAAATCAATAATTAAACATCAGTGTGACAAATACTAGAATTGAAGAGCTGTTAAGGTGTTATGAATGTACACAAACTGGGCATATAAATATGTATGAGGTGGGATATGGAAGGGGCAGGGTAGCCCTCAGCTGTGCAGTACAGAGCTTAAAGTAGCGAGTCCAGAGGCTGAGACACAGCTGAAGTGATCTCTGTGAGGAGAATAAAAGCTGGAAGTCTGGGTATGGGGTACCAGCTTGGGTCCCTGCCGCCCACATGGGAGACTCAATTTGAGCTCCAGGCTTCTGGCCTTGGCCTGGCCCAGTCCCACTATGGTGAGCATTTAGTAAGGGACTCAGCAGATGGGAGACCTCTCTCTCTTTCTCTCTCTCTTTCTCTCCCTCTCTCTCTCTCAGCTTGCCTGTCAAATAAACAAACTATAAGACATCACTGTGGATTCTGCCCTCAATAAGTAGGTGATAACAGTAATTCCTTAAGAGGAATCCTATATAGAGAACATCATACTTGGAACTGGTGGAACAAAAGGCTAATAATGAGGATTAGGTTATGACTGACTTTGAAGTGTCCATGGAACTTCCAGGTGGAAATTTACACAAAATAATTAAATGTATGACCCCTGAGAGGAGTCTGGGCTGTGAACAAAGTTCCAGCTACAGTAGAAAAATGTAGGGTGTGAAAACAAGAGGGCTCCAGGGATCTTCAAACAAAACCTTCAATAGAAACCTTGGGTCATACTTCCCTCCCTCCTTCTTAGTTACCAGGAGAAGCACCTACAGTTATTTTTATATCACTTCAAGGGCAGAAAATGTCTTTTGGCTTCTTCATATTGGAGGCCTATGGGATGATCAACCAAAATATTATAAAACCCTGTACAAATTACATATGATCATTTAAAATGCATGTTAGGTAAGTCAGCAGCAACTGAGAGGTATTCAGACTTTCTGAATCATTTCATTCCTCAGGTGTATTTCAAGTAAACACATGGGTAATGGCATAAGAGATGAGTAATCTCACCAAAGTAATAATAACTCTTGAACCAGAAAAAGGACTTTACTTTTCACTATTTCTTTTCTAATTTAATTGTTGAAACTATAATACCTAAATATCATTTCACCACTAATACCTGATTAAAATGAAGAAAAAAATAATCACTTGAGCATTGCTTTGATCTTATTGGCAGCTTGGAGCTCATGTGTTATAGATGTGTAATGTGTTAGTATATCTAATACAGTGATTGGCACATAGAAAAATTCAACTTTTCACTAGGAGTTTATATGTTCCTTCTATATAAGAGTAGAATTTCCTATTGAAGACATACTATGCAAGATACACTCTTTTTAGTACATGATGACACTTTGAAAAAAAATAAGTTTCATGTAAGAGAATTAGATAACAAATACCCGTCTCATTCATGGTCATAAATCACTCTCCTCAGATTAATAGACAAATACACTCTTAATTTATAAACTTTAGTTTTTCACTTACAAACCTCAACCAATAATATTAAATTAATCTTTATTCTGAGGACTAAAAGCATTTTCCTTGGAACTGTTGTCCCACTCATAACAAAGATCGTCTCACAGTATTTATTTAAAGGAAAAAAATGAACAACTCAGAGCAGGGAGATATGCCTCTATAGCATGTTACACTCCTGACTCAGATTCTGACACTGGTATTTATTTTCCTTTTTCAAAAAAAAATTTAAAAGATTTATTTTATTTATTTGAAAGGCAGAATTACAGAAAGAAAAGGAGAGGGAGTGAGAGCGTGAGAGAGCAATCTTCCATCTACTGGTTCACTCCCCCAAATGACTGCAATGGCTTGGGTTGGGCTAGGCCAAAGGCAGAAGCCCTGAGCTTCATCCAGGCTTCCCACATTAGAGCAGGAGCCCAAGGAGTTGGGCCATTTTCCTCTGGTTTCCCAGGAGCATTAGCATGGAGCTGTGTTGGAAGCAGAGCAGCTGGGACTCAAACCAGCACTCATTTGGGATGCTGGCATTGCAGGCAGTGGTTTAAACAGCTTTGCCTAAGTACCAGCCTCTATTTTCCTTTTAAACTTACCATTAAGGTTTTAGGCGCAGGAGTTGGTATAGTCATTAAGACACCATGCTGAGGCACCCTCATTCCCTATCAGAGAGCCTGGCTTCACGCTCCAACTCCACTCCTGATCACATCTCTCTACTTATGCACACCCTGGGAAGCAGCAGGTCATGGCTCAGCAGTTGAGTCCCTCCCATCTCCATGAGAGACCTGGATGGAGTTCCTACCTCCCCACTTAGGCCTAGCCCAGTGTTGGCAGTTGCAGACATTTGGGGATTGCATCAGTAGATTGGAGTTCTCTGTCTTTCTTTCTCTTTATGTCTCTCCCTGTGCTGTTCTGCCTTTCAACATAAATAAAATAGATTAATAAATGAAAATTGTAGTATCTTCTGGACATGTTAACAATAAGCAACCTCCGAGATCAGATGCTGCAAGTACATCGTTAGGTTGAGAGAAGACTCACATTATTGGTCACAGAACACAAAGCTGATTTTTAATTCACCAAAGATTAAAGACTGAGTGACAGAGCTGATATTCCAGATGATCTTGACAAGGCAGAATAGTTCGCTTAAACCAATGAGGGTACGTGTAGCAAGAACACAGGGAGGGGGCATGCTTGATGACACTTTATGAAATGAAGCCCGAAGGGGCACTTGGCACCGAACGGCCACTGTGAGCTCCTGAGAAAGCAGATGTAATCCTGGGTCGACGACAATAGCAGAAGAACTGGAGTGAGTGCTGTCACTGCTCATTGACCAGACTACCTCTGCAGCGCTGTGGGTGGCTCCGGCTGCCACTGGTAGTTACAGAGCATCCCATGCCTGGTAAACCCAAGAGAGTGGCCCCTCCACATAACAGCCTTTGAGGGGCCTGAGCAAGCCTACTCACAGGGTAAATGGTGCGGTGGATCCAAGTCGTGTGGCATCTGAGGTTGACTTATTTGGAGGGCTCCACTTGGAGAAAAGGAGGACAAAACGGGACCTAGAAGCAGCCTGGGCAAAACATTTAAAGCTTCAACTTCCTTAGTTTCATGGTAAAGCTGTCTTGTGCTGGAGAAGAATAGATTTAATGAGCACACAAGTGGGGTTAATGTATTTGTTTTGAAAAGAAACTTAAAGGCAGAGGAGCGGACTCATTCTCCCTGCTCTAGAGGGCAGAAATAGAACCAACAGATCCATGTTGAAGGAACAATCCTAAAAATTCGACAAAGGCATGAGCAGTCTTCAGAAACAGCGAGCCTCATATGGCGGCACATATTGAAGGATAGGCTTGTTCCCTGTGGAGAGGTCCCCAGCTTGACAGCACAGTGGAACTAGATGATGGATTTCAAACTGTGCTTAGCAGCTCCCCGGGGTCCTCAGGAGAAATAAGATAGGAACTGTTTCTTTAGGCTGAAGTGTTCACTGTGTTTGCTTAGTTTTACATCTTCACTGACACAGCGTTGGTACCAAGAATTCTCTTTCTTCAATAGAGATGAGAAGAAGCTGGAGGAGAAGTAGGAGGAAGGAGAAGGGCAGTTCTGTAAAAACCTGGACCATGGAAGTTCAAATTCCCTTCAGTTTTAGTGTGTACTAAGTAATTGTGTGTGTGTTATGTGTGTGTTTGTACATACATGTGCATGTGCACATCGGTGATATTTCCTGTGCTAAATTTGATCCCCTAGAGTATATAGAAATTCATTCTTCTTTTAACCTGAAATAACTCAAAATCCTAAAATAAGCAATGAAGTTATATTCTCTTATAACCATATCCTCCAAGCTTCATAGAATACTGGTTTGGGGAAGAGCTTATGAGATACACTTGGAAAGCAGCAACCATCCAGAGTGTGCCTGCTGTTCACCTGGTGGGTTCTGTAACAGCCATTCAGGACTAATGTTGGAGGGAAAGGGGCAAGGTGACTGCTGAGGCTACGAGAAGATGAATTGCAACCACAGGTGTTTAAAGACTCCCTGATGGAAGTAGGTTTTGACCAGCAGCTGGACTTTGAATTTTGTTTCTCCAGATGGCTCTAGAAGGCAGGATGGCAGAGAGTTGTGTATCTTAAAGAGAATAGCAGTAAAGTAATAACTTCTTTTTTAGGCAAGTAAGAGTCTTCAAGTTGAAAAAGAAAATATGTGCCAATCATGGAAACTTTGAATAGTTTGCCATATTTTTCCAAGTGTCATAACCTGTGCTGTGTGTCTCATATGTACTGTATTATCTACATCTTATAACAGTCCTATGAATTAGGTACAAACTACTGCCATCCCCATTTTATAAACTGAGTTTTACAAATTTTAAATAACTTGCCAAAGGTTTCAAGGAAAAAAGTGGAAGATCTCAAAACCAAGTCAGTTTGATTGCAATATTACACTATGCTCCTAAATACTGTGCTACATTTTTAAAAGAGTATGCAATATTCTTAACCCACCAGGAGACGACTACTATAATTACAGTAACTGTCTTGTAATTCCTTCCAGTATTTCACTATGCTTATTTTCATTATGGAGTTATACAATGTGTAATATTTAAGACCCTTTAATTTTGCATTAATCCAAAGATTTTCCAAAGTGTCCATATCTTCTAATAATCAGATGCAATGATTAAGTGAGTTTTATTAGGGAAAATGGAAATTTGTATTAAGAAAAATATCTTATGAGAGAAGATGGAGAGAAAGCTGGGGAGATTGCAAGGGAAAGATGCAAGTCAAATGCCAACGGACGGAGAGAGGGAAGAAAGACTGGGAATATCATCATAGGTCTCCATGCAGCCTAAAAAGTACTTTTCAAGACCATTAGGAAATCCATGGGCCAAAATCAGGCTTCAGAGGGTCTGTGTCTCCCAAGAAGGGGCACACTTAGTCACTGGCTGGGAGCAGTTCAGGGAAAGCATGGCCTTGAGCAAATCGGCCGTGGTTTTCAGAAGGCAGAATCTGAGACCAATAAGCAACTAAATTCGTGAAACCAGAAGTCAGGGAGAAACACTCTCATGTCCACTGCATCAAGATGATTATTAAAATATATCAAGTGGCTGCATAATATTCCATCTGTGTGGAAGTCCCAGAACTGCTTCTGTTTTAAATGCATGTGTGTGCGTATGTGTGTGTAAGTTTTGGTTATCAATTGTTTCTATAATGAACATCTTTTTAATACAGTCTTATCAACAGTATGACTTTTATTTTAAGGCTCTAGATGAACTTTGCCAAATTGCTTTTGATTAATGCACTGATATTGTTGCTGTGGAATTTTGGGGGCTGTGGGAAATATGGCTGGATGTGCAGGTTGTGGCCAGATTTTGAAGAGTATTGAATGTCAGGCTGAGACTTTTAAAATATATTTTGTTCGTTGAAGAGCTACTGCTTTAGTGAAAATAAATTGATATTTTAACCCCTTTCTGATGCAGGCATGATATGGGCTGAATGTAAAGAAATCTGGACTCAAGGCCCCAAGGAATACTTATTTGAGTTGTGGAATATGCTTGATTTTGGTATGTTAGCGATATTTGCAGCATCATTTATTGCAAGATTCATGGCATTTTGGCATGCTTCTAAAGCTCAGAGCATCATTGATGCAAATGATACTTTGAAGGACTTGACAAAAGTTACCTTGGGAGACAATGTGAAATACTACAATTTGGGTGAGTTTACAGTACACAGTCAACATTAATAAAAATGCAGAATATTATTATAAAACAAACATCAATAGTAGTTTGGATATTGTCAAATTCTTACAAATTGTTAGTTTTCAACACCTGTACCTGAAGAAGTGTGCCTTCTGCTGCTGCTTTTTCCTTTCCTGATGGCTAGAAACCTCTCTTTTTTAACTTTTATTTAATAAATATAAATTTCCAAAGTTTAGCTTTTGGATTACAGTGGCTATTCCCCCCCAAAACTCCCCTCCCACCTGGAACCCTCCCATCTCCTGCTCCCTCTCCCATTCCATTCACATCAAGGTTCATTTTCAATTATCTTTATATACAGAAGATCAATTTAGTATATATTAAGTAAAGATTTCAAAAGTTTGCACCCACACAGAAACACAAAGTGTAAAGTACTGTTTGAGTACTAGTTATACTGTTAATTCACATTGTACAACACATTAAGGACAGAAATCCTACATGGGGAGTAAGTGCACAGTGACTCCTGTTGTTGATTTAACAATTGACACTCTTTATTTATGACATCAGTAATCACTCTAGGCTCTTGTCATGAGCTGCCAAGGCTATGGAAGCCTCTTGAGTTTGCCAACTCTGATCTTATTTAGACAAGGTCATAGTCAAAGTGGAAGTTCTCTCCTCCCTTCAGAGAAAGGTACCTCATTTTTTGATGGCCTGTTCTTTGCGCTGGGATCTCACTCACAGAGATCTTTCATTTAGGATTTTTTTTTTTTTGCCAGTGTCTTAGCTTTCCATGCCTAAAATACTCTCATAGGCTCTTCAGCCAGATCCAAATGCCTTAAGGGCTGATTCTGAGGCCAGAGTGCTATAGAAGCCTCTCTTAATCATAAAACTACCTCCCTTTACCTGTCAGGTCAATTGACTACTAAATTAAATTGAGAATAGTTTATATCATTAATTCATTTTAATCCTCTTTTCTATTAAAATAGTTTATATTTAAGTGGAATATATACACAATGGATTGCTATTAAGTCTTTTTTTAAGATTTATTTATTTATTTGAAAGTCTGAGTTACAGAGAGAGAGGAGAGGCAGAGAGAGAGAGGTCTTCCATCCAATGGTTCACCCCCAATTGGCCGCAACAGCCGGAGCTGCCCTGATCTGAAGCCAGGAGCCAGGAGCTTCTTCTGGGTCTCCCACATTGGTGCAGGGGCCCAAGGACTTGAGCCATCTTCTACTGCCTGGGAGGCCATAGCAGAGAGCTGGATCAGAAGTGGAGCAGCCGGGACTAGAACCAGAGCCCATATGGGATGCTTGCACTTCAGGCCAGGGCATTAACCCACTGTGCCACAACACCGGCCCCAGTTATTAAGTCTTAAAAAAGGAAGACTATCTTGTCATTGGTGACAGTGTGCATGAATGTGGAGGATGTTATGCTAAGTGAAATAAGTCAGGCACAGAAAGACAAAAATAGTCCATGACCTCACTGTGTTGTGGAATTTAAAGAAGTCAGATTTATAGAAGCAGAGAATAATGGTGTTTGCCTGAGGCTGAGATGGAATGCAAAAATAGGGAAGATACTGATCAAAGGTACAAAAGTGTTAGGAGGAATAAATTCCGGAGATTTATTGAACAGCATGATTATAGTCAATGATAATGCATGATGAACTTGAAAAGAGAATACATGCTAAATGTTACCACAGACACAAAAATGGTAAGTATGTGTGGTGATAGATGTTAAATAGCTTGAATTAATCCTTGTGCTATGTGTACATATATCAAAATATGCCATCACATCCTATAAATATATACATTAAAACATTCACTTTGGGGTACCATTTTCATAGATATATAACCTATTTGAAAGGAAAGGAATTGTTGGGGTCTCTGAGAGGACCCCCAATAAACAACACCATTATTTCTCAATCAGGCCTTGAATAGTTGAAAACAGTAAGTTAATATGAAGACCAGATAATTAGCACTAATACTGGAAAAATTCAGGGTGAATGGCAGTGATCCGAGTCTGTTGGCCAATGGGCTCATTAATATTGAACCTCAGATTAGGCAGACTTGACCTTCAGATTCTCAGCAGCAAAGAATGAGGACAGTCCTCAGGGTGGGGGAGTGGATGGAAGTGGGCAGCATGCGCCTTCCATGGGTGACCCCTCCATGGAGACCCGAAGAAAAAGTGCAAGAGAAAGAGGGTAATGCTGAACCATTCATGCCAGTTATTTATCCCAACTCAACAATCGAGGAGTTTTTCCAGCTCCCCAAGAGGAAGGTGACTAAAGGGAAGAAGTAGATCCAGTCATTTGCTTAAAGGCATTATCTGTAGAAATCTGGATTGGGGAAAATATATTCCCTTTGAATACTTATTTCAAACCCTCCATTAAGAAATCAGTGAACATTCAATTGGCACTTCTATGTGTTTATTATCTATATATCATAAGAGCCACATTTTATTATATATATTATTTATAATATTTAGTGTTTGTTTTACATTTAACTTATTTTTATAAAATATACAGAATTTTAAGGTCAATCTCATAGAAGAGAGTAGAGCAATGGTCACTAGAGACCAGGAAGGAGAGGGAGGCAGGGAAGGAGAAAGGTTAAATAATAGGCACCAAAATCCAGTCAAACTTGGAGGAATTGGCTCTAGTGCTCTCTAACATAGTACTGTAGCTACAGTCTACAACAATTTATAGTATGATTCTAAATAACTAGAAAAGGGGAGTCTGAAGCTTCCCAACACAAGCAAAGGATAAATATTTGAGGAGATGGCAATGTTAATTACCTTGATTTGTTCATAGTACACTGTATACATGCACCAAATTTGCATACTGTATGTACCCATAAATATGTACAAATATTATGCACCATTTGCAATTTTTAAAAACTCAGTTATGTATCTATTTACAGATAATCCTATTTTTAGATTCAAAGTGCCATAAAAAGGAAGCAGCTTTTCCTTGTTTCTTGTTATCCTTTCCTAATTCCATTTCACAGCAAATAGCAAGAACAATTTATATTCATATTTTTCCTTTTTATTACATATTGTTATGCATTTATCTTCAGAATAGTTTCTTTATTGGATTTGTTGACCTGATATAATAATGAGTGAAAAATTCATCATGAATAATTGCTACATATTTATAGTAAAAATAAAGTTATTTGAATGATCAATAAAAATTACATATAGTTAATTTAAATGACTACACTACTCTATAAGCCCCAGATTACATTATAATATAATTATAGTTTATGCAAACTTTTTGCTTATATTAATTGAGGTTATATAATAAATGCTACCATTTATTAAATGTAAGGCACTTTCTAAACACTAAACATATGTCGATTTATTGAGAGAGGTAGAAGCAGTGTTACTTCATTTTAAAAGATGTGGAAATTAAACTTTTAGTTTTACTTAAAGTTTTAGTTTTATTTGCAAGTTCTTTCAGTTGATATACATGTGTGTTTATGTGTGTGTATTTGAGAGTGTGTGTATGAATTTTATGTATATATATTTATACATTTTTACAGATATTGAGTCTATAATCTGAGCTGTTATCTATCATGCTATTCCACTATGGAAATTTGACAGCAAACTTACCTTAGGTTTGTCTTTGCTTTTTCCTAGCTAGGATTAAGTGGGACCCCTCTGATCCTCAAATTATATCTGAAGGACTTTATGCAATTGCTGTAGTTTTGAGTTTCTCCAGAATAGCTTATATTTTGCCAGCAAATGAAAGTTTTGGACCTCTGCAGATATCACTTGGAAGAACAGTAAAAGACATCTTCAAGTTCATGGTCATATTCATCATGGTGTTTGTGGCTTTTATGATTGGAATGTTCAACCTCTACTCCTACTACATTGGTGCAAAACAAAATGAAGCATTTACAACGTATGTGATCTCAGATGATTTTATGATGGAAGTTGCAGATGAAATAAATATTCCTTTAGCAGTATTTCTTTAGTCCATGGGATAAGTAATATTTGGTAACAACTTCATCTCTACTTTGTCTTCAGCAAATACAGGATTTTTCTTTAAAAGTTGGAAAAACTCTAAAAAATAAGACTGTTCTTCACATTAAATAAAAATAGCTAACATTTTTGGAGCCAGGTACTATGGTAAATCCCTCTTGTACAACTCTTTATATCTCCATTTCACAAAAAGAGGAAACAAATTCACACAAGTTAAATAGTTTGCTGAATATAAATTGCAATAAATTACTCAAATATTAGGTCTTCAGTGTACAATGAGTATTAACTGAAACAAAACCTATTCTCATTTATATTCCTCTACAGTACAGTTTTATAGGGAAATGAAATCAGTTGGGTTATGCAGATTGGCTTAACTTTGATCAATAATTATGCCTAAAAGCATTCAAATTCCTGTCTAAGACATGTCAATGATTTTGGTAACATTGCCTGTTAATGTTTTTATGGAATCCACAATGTTACAGTGGTCAACACTTTGCTGAATGTTACTATATTGTCATATTTTCCCTTACGATACATATTATATTATTTTTATTGTTAAGTTTTGAAGTACATTTGAGTAGGAAACCTAAAGAAGATTCTAACAAATTATATTATGATTGCTTAGTAATACATTATCATTTCCATTGCCAAAGCAATTGACTATTTGAATGTTAAATATACCTGTGGTTATAAAGTTATGATGGAGTACTGAGTGCTAACTATGCATCAAGTATTGAGCTAAGTGCCTAGATGCATAATGTAACCTCATCCTTGCAACAATCCTAACAATAAATATTATTGTATCCATTTTACAGAAAAGAAAATGGAGGCTTAGAGAGTAAAGAATTTGCTCATGAACACCTAGTAATTTGCAGAGGCTAAATCAACTCAGGTTCATTATTTGCAACTGTTGTTATTTATGCATTTTTATACTTCTTTTCTTTTTCTCCAGAGTTGAGGAGAGTTTTAAGACACTGTTTTGGGCTATATTTGGACTTTCTGAGGTGAAATCAGTGGTGATCAACTGTAATCACAAATTCATTGAAAACATCGGTTATGTTCTTTATGGAGTCTATAATGTTACGATGGTCATTGTTTTGCTAAATATGTTAATTGCAATGATCAACAGTTCATTCCAGGAAATTGAGGTATGATCTCTCTACACTTTTATGGTCTGTGCCCACATGTTATAACTATTCCACGGGCCAAGTCAGCAATGGGATGAAAGTATGGACTGCCATCCTCCTTTATTCTTTCCCTATTTTAGCATTTGACCAATGATCTAGGAAATTTCAACTCTGCTTCCAAAAACAGAACCAATGGGATGTGGTGAGGCAATAAGGCAGAAGGAGCAGAAATGTCTGATTCATTATTGTCAAAAAGAGAAACAACTTTAGAAATACTGTATCAACATGAATTTATATTTTATTCAAAAAATATTGCTGTTATCTGAGTCTAGTTCAGTGATGTTCAGAATCAACCCCTTTTCAATTTGAGTGTGACAACATAACTTTTTATTCCAGAAATCTTGGCCTGTATCTTGAATTCATGAGTACTCTATTGTACAATGAAAGAATAATTTTTCATACTATTTTTTAAGAATATAGGAAATACATTTATATGTTTAAAACATCTATAAAATATGCACGTTTTGAGATTTATTTAGTTTGGCAAGTTTCATAAAATTTTAGACAGATTTAGGAAAGAGCATGTGTGTGGAACATTAACATTTTGGAAAACCTTGGAGCATCTTTGGGGTCCAGGAGTGTAGTTGTTAGACCCAGTGCTTCTTGTCTAACCAAACAATGTTAGAAGCACCTCAGTAGTTCTGTCTGTGCATGTCCTTGCTGAACTGCATGTGTATCTGTACAGGATGATGCTGATGTTGAGTGGAAATTTGCGAGGGCCAAACTTTGGTTTTCCTACTTTGAAGAGGGGAGAACACTTCCTGTTCCCTTCAACCTGGTGCCAAGTCCAAAGTCCCTGTTTTATCTCTTACTGAAGCTTAAAAAATGGATATCTGAACTGTTCCAGGGTCATAAAAAAGGTTTCCAAGAGGATGCAGAGATGAACAAGGTATTTTGGCTTGATAATGTATCATCATATTGTTTAATGCTATGACTATTGCAACCACTTGGCCATACCACTTTAAGAAACAGATCAGGATGACATGTCCAGCCCAATGCATGCCCGCCTCAGCAAGTCCCTAGTAATGGGTCTGTTTACTATGAGCACATTGGATATTTCCTATTTGAAGACTAAAGGAAATATTCATTAATATAACACATGATCTGCAGTGAATGTTGAAAGCTAATTTAGGACACATTTTTGTTCTTGGGTCTAACTATTCTTCATTTCACTCACAACATACAGACCTAGGTAAAGCATCAGCAGCTGACTATGACTGGTGGCAGTTAGGCAGATTCTTAAATTCTATACTGAAAATTTCAGAAATCAATTGCTCACACTCGATGTGGAGGATCATGCTTGGCAGTAAGTAGCTCAGAAAGAAAGAGCTAAGAATATTAGTTAAAAACAATAATTATTGAGCAATGCAAGCTGAAGAAACCATAAAAAGACACATTTCCTATTTGAGGGGAAAGCATGGTCATAATATCGTAAAATATGTTGAAAGGACATGTGAGATGATGTGTGTATCTGGGGAGGGAGCAAGGCCTTTCTCTGCAAAAACCTTTGCTGGGTACAGATGTAACACCCAGGAGGAACATTGAGATACAAGGTGCATCCAAAGGAGGAAGCACAGGATGGAGAAAGAGATGAATATAGTATAATATGAGGGAGAATTGAACGAGCAGACTGTTTCTTATGAAAAAGGAAGTTTGAAAGTTACAAAGAATATCTTTATAACCTCCACTTTTGGTTAGGGTGTACACTTGCTTTTTGGTCCATTCCAAAATAGGCAGAGAAGCAATAGGCAAAAGTTGCAAAAAGCTAAATTGGAGTTTTAAGTAACAACAAACTTATAACAATAAGATCTACTAATGGAACAGAGGACTGTCATAGAAGGTAGTTAGCTCTCTATCGTTGCTGGAAATCAATAAATTCCAGAAGATTCACATTTGGTGATTTATAGATCTTCCTACATTGGATGACCAATCAGGTCAAGTGACTGTAAAGGTTCCTTGCAATAATATGATTCTACCATTTATAAAAGGGAAACATATTCTAATTCCTGTTCTCTTGGCCACTTACAAGTTGAAATTCCCAAGTAAGCAACAAACTGAGTTCTAGTTTTTTTTTTTAACTGTCATATGAAATACAAATTATATCTATATTGTGAAGGTAAAATTAAATAAATATATAAAAGTGCTTTGAGAATTCCAAGGCCCTGTTACATGTAGTCATTATTAATTTTTTGTGTAGGAATTTTGGAAAAATAGCCTGTGATATTCCTTTGATGGATTACTTACAAAACTCAGCAGGTTGAGTGGCAAAAATTTGCCAAACTTCATGTCATTAAGTGTGTAGTTTCCAAGTCTGATGAGCACTGCCACCCGAGAGAGTTCAGCAACCAAACGAAACTCCAAGCTCTTGTCAAAGGACATTTATTTCCTTCATTGGAACTTGCTGAGGATTGCGGGGAAGGAGAAGCATTGTGGTACAATGGGTTAAGCCATTCCCATACTGGAATGCTGGTTCCAGTCCTGGCTGCTCCATTTCTGATCTAGTTCTCTGCTATGCTTTGTAAAGGCACCAGAAAATGTCCAAGTATATGGACCCCTGCTACCCATGTGGGAAACCAGGATGAAGTTCTTGGCTCCTAGCTTAAGCCTGGCCGGGACATGTGGCCAACTGAGGAATAAAGCAGCAGATAGAAGTCTCTCTCTCTCTCTCTCTCTCTACCTCTCTGTCACTCTGCCTTTCAAATTAAGAAATAAATCTTTAAGAAACTCATTGGGAACTACACTAGACAGCTCTTACAGTATGGAATGAAGAGTAAAATTGGCAATGCATTTATACTCATTTGACTATTTATTTTTAATAGAGAAATGAAGAAAAGAAACTTGGAATTTTAGGAAGTCACGAAGACCTCTCAAAATTATCACTTGACAAAAAACAGGTAAGATTCTTTGAAAACATGAAATCATGCGTGTGATCAGGCTTATCTTTTGAGGAAAAGAGACAAATGTTCAGAAGTTCCTTGAAGAAATAAATAAAATACCAATTAAATAATTTATGTTAATAATCTGTTGAGAAGTGAAAATAAGCCCTATGTTTAATTAGCAAAAAAGAATTATGTATATACTTAAGATATATATTATGATACCATCGGGACCCCTGCATCTTTTTTTTTTTTAAATCAAAGACTTTATTGGATAAATGTTACACAACATTCTTTGACATTTAACTCTGAGCATACTCATGATGAAAAACAAGTTTTGTCATTCAAGTCTACGAAACAAAATAGGCTTGTGAAGATTTGAAATACAGACAAAAGCATGAAGCAAAGCTTAAATATTAAGCAACTAAAGCAATGAAAGTGAAATAGCAACATGGTAAGTCTAGATTTTAAATATCACCAAGTTTCATTTTTTAAAAAATGAAAATTCGGTTTGTAACCAAAACATGTTTCAGAATATGTCATGAGAGAAAATAGATACTTAAAACTTTCTCTCTCAATTCTTTCGCCTATTATTATTACTTGGTCATTTCCATCCCTCAGAAATAATGAATTCTAAAGCTTAACTTAAAATCTTGATTATACAATCCCATGTGTTAATTCCACCATGGCTTGGGAGTTACCTACTTCTTGAAGTGAGCCTAAAAGATACTGCTGGTGTTATAATTTGAAAGAACAGGCCCAACCAAGCAAAGCCCTAGGCCAGGCAGAGTGGGGCACCCCTGTAATGTAATATATTTCATGTTAGAACTCCCTGCTGCTACAGTTCCTGAGCTTATTTTTCCAATGTGATAAAATATGATTTCATGATAGGGACTTCCAAAAAGATAAATTTATAGTGTAGTTGAAACTTTAAGTTACATGCAATGTAATTGGGATTTGCATTAAGATCATTAGACACAAGATAAGACTACCTGCTTTTCCTTCTTGAGTGGTAAAAACAAATTGTAGTCAGCTATGCTAAATGTTCGAAACTCCCAGAACCTTTGTAAGTCCTGAGATTGGGGCTATTAGGTAATTCCAAAATACAGTGATATTATGGATGTTTGAATACCTGAGCCAAGTGCTCAGTAACCTGTTTCATTGCTTCAAATGAATTTTGTGGGTTTTATTTTTGGCATTTTTTTTGTAATATGTATTCAATATGGATTATCTTTCTGGTTTAAAAAATAAATCAGTATTGCCACTAAAAAACCTCAGTTTTATTATTAAAAGTACAGCATCATCAAATATAAAATGCCTTAAAAATGTAATACTAACAAGTCCATGTGTTTTTCTCTTCTTTTCTCCATTCATTAAAAAAGAAAAGACTTCAGAATATGTATTTACCAAATATAAGGGAAAAACTATGGTCTCTATTAAGAACTTAAGTTTCATGCACAAAAAGTGTGACAATCTCTCCATGGATCTGTTCTGCTAGTCACCCGCTGTGGGGCCACGTCCTACCTGATACCTGTGAGAATCCCTTGAGCTCACAGAGGAGGGGCTCCTTGGGGAGAGGTCCACATCAGAATTCAGATGTTGTCACCTTTTCTGAACAAGATCAATCAGTAAGGAAAGAAACAATAATAAAAGTTTCCCAGCTCAGTAGTTCTTAGAGTATACATTTTAACTCCAAGATCAACATTAGCCTATCCACTTTGAATCAAAATATGAAAGAATGTAGTAATGAAAATGTGCACCAAATGTTAAATACTAGTGGCAAATAAATACATCCTAATATGTTCTAACAAGCAAACATATATTCAGAATACAGCCCTGCTTTATTCAAGAAGGAAAAGATCCCCATTTTGTGGGTGGGGTGGGGTAGGTTGGAGTGGGCTGGGGCACTTTGCCATCCTTTCTGCAGGATGTTGAATCCTCTTTCCTGGAACACTGAAGGAAACGTTGGCCTTAGCATACGTGACTATTGCTGTTTCATAGGCAAGCCATCTTAGAAATACCTTTGTTCAAGTTGGAACTGACTAAACCTTGGAGAAAGCACAAAGTTTAAGTATGAAAAATGCTTGAATATTTCCCTATCATCCCACACCTCTTGGGCCTTTCCAAACTGTACTGATATAAACTTCACATTCTTCAAGTGACTTCTTCTATGTATATTTCACATCACCTTTCTCCTCATCTCATGCATAATTTATTGCAATAGCTTGTTATTAAACATTCCCTAATACCTTTTCTTCAGCTTAATATAGTACAATTTGCAAGTGCCCTTTTATAGACTGTTGGTTTTAACCACTGCCTTAACATTTACTTCTTAGTGCAGCTTTAAAAATCTCCAATTTCCTTCCGTCCTGATGTTCTGGTGTTCTCTGTCATTGTGGTATGGGTCCATGAAACCAGCAGCCTGCTAATGTCTTTGTGCTGCTGAGTGGGTAGAGGTGCAGCGGGACTGGGGTTTGGGCGCCATCTTGCCACTCCTTATTTTCTCAAGTCCCGTCTTCAGAGAAGAGTCATTTTCTTCATTCCTGTACCTCTGTGGTTTTAAACGAACCCGGGGAGGAAGGGAACCTGAGCTAGGATTCTGAAATGGACTTTTGAATGCGCATTTTTGGAAGTAGAGGTTTCACTTTGCTTCTTTTGTGCCTTTTCTTTGGCTGCCATCCCCATATGGGCACCAGTTCTAGTCCCAGCTGCTCCTCTTCCAATCCAGCTCTCTGCTGTATCATTTATATCAAAATGAAAGCTTTGAAAAATATTTCCCTATAGGGCTGGAGCTGTGGCTTACTTGGTTAATCCTCCACCTGTGGCGCCAGCATCCCATATGGGTGCTGGGTTCTAGTCCCGGTTGCTCCTCTTCCAGTCCAGCTCTCTGCTGAGACCCGGGAAGGCAGTGGAGGATGGTCCAAGTGCTTTGGTCCTTGCACCCGCATGGGAGACCGGGAGGAAGTACCCGGCTCCTGGCTTTGGATCAGTGCAGCATGCCGGCCTTAGCGGCCATTAGGAGAGTGAACCAACAGAAGGAAGACCTCTGTCTCTGTCTCCCTCTCACTGTCTATAACTCTCTCTCTGTCTCTCTCTCTCTCACTGTCTAACTCTGTCTGGCAAAATAAATAAATAAATAAAATAAAATAAAATAAAATAAAATATTTCAGATCAGGAAACTTTAAAAAATGGAAAATAATGCCTACAATAGATCTACAGAGTTGATTTCATTATAGAGAGGATAGTATAGTGGTTAGGAAGCTAATGTAGGGAATCAACAAACTGTGTCCCTTAGACCATATTTGGTCTTCAGCCTATTTTTGTTCAGTTGATAGTTAAAGGATTTTTGGTCTTTAAAAACATTTTAAAGGGTTGTCAAAAAATAAATAAGAATATGTGACAGATAGTATGTGTTACCTAAAAAGCCTAAAATATTTATTATCTAGCTTTTTAAATAAAGTCTGCCACCCTGCATGTCATGATGAGGGTTATGAATAAAACAGTTAACCACCACAAACAATTAAGTTCAAATATTCTGTAAGTAATTTCTGTCATAATGATGTGTGTCTCTGTGTGTTCTTCTTAGAATGTTGCCTCACTAAGATGCTTTAATCATTTGTAGAATGCAGACAGTAATCCTGTTAACATCCAAGAGTTTTTTGAATATTAAATTAGTAGTTAATAATAAAATACTTACAACAGTATCTGGCCCATAGTAGGTACATAATAGCTATTTGTGATTTTATTACTATTACTAGAGAACAGGAAGAACAAATGTAATGACACAGTTTGGCAGTGATGCTAATTCAATCAGGACTGAGAAATGAAACTCTATCTAAAAGTCCTAGAGAAAGAATGGAAACAGAAAACTAAAGATGGCATTCAGTTAAAAATTGTAAATGGATGTTACCCAGAAAAATAATCGAATATAAATAGTAACAGTGATGATAGAAAGTCACAAGTTTGAAAATCAGCCTACATTGATTGAAAAGAGGTAACAAAATTAGTATCTGTAGGGTATGCTTGCCAGCAATTCTCTGTCTCTCTCTGTCTCTCTCTCTCTCTCTCTCTGTCTCTCTCTCTCTGTCTCGCACACACACACACACAGTGATTTTCCCACCACTGCCCAACTATGGACTCAGACAAATTGCATGGCCTTCTCAGGCCTCAGTTGTTACTATAGCCTCAGAAGAATCATTAAAGTAAGTGAAATAACATTACCTAGAATTTTATTTTGCTGCTTACATTTCAGTTTCTTCCTCCTGGTTCTTCCTTGATGAAATGATTTTTCAAAGGCTTCTCTAGTATTGGATATATTCAGAATGGAGTCCAACTATGCCTGGTGACTTACTGCTTGATCCCAATCACTTGCGACATGTGTACCAAGGAATGTATAATTAATCATATTTTAACAAAATCTAACATTTTGGGAATGATGTAGTTCATCTTAAATGTTTAACTTCCCTCTATGTATTATAAATATTATGAAGCTTAAAGGAAGCATATAAGGGTTTTCATAACTTCATGGAAAATTGATGTTATGAAAAAAACATGCATGGATTTCAATTCTTTTTGTACCAAAATGAACTTATCTTTAAACTCCATTTTCCATGAATGTTTTGAAGTCCGCTCATATGTGAAATTCAGTTTGTTTAGTTGTATTTTGTATTCACTGCACTCTTTCCTTACCAAAATTTTATTTTTGGGTAGATATAGTAAGAGCACTGAACTAAGTACTCAGAAGATTAGCATCTGATTTTATCTCTGCCCCATGAGTAAGTCATTTAATTTCTCCAAACTTACGTTTCATCATCCATAAAACAGGGTTGAAAAGCTATTCAATCCATATCATCATATTGTTGGGAAGATTAAATTGATATTTTGTGAATTATAAACCCTATACAATTGTGATATACCCTTATTATAGAGAATTAGTTCTTTTTGATACTTGTTTATAAGTAACTCAACATTTTATCAAAATAGGTCAATTTAAATTAAATCTTAAGGTTCTCTAATGAGAAAATACTAGTGCTGAAAGTATGATAAATATTTGATAATAAGCCTTTGGAGACAAGAGAAGAATCAAAGGGAGTTTGCTTTCTTTATTAGAGAAACTACAGTATTTATCAAATAATTCTATTTTTTGTGACTTCTCAAAAAATCTGTAGCATTGATTTTAATCACCTATAAAGTGTCTTTAAATGAGATTTGAATCATTTTATATTTCCCAATAGCACATATTTTAACTCTTGATTAAAACAAACTCCAGGAGCAATACCAAGCCTGTGGTGTCAGACCCTAGTCGTGAAGTATGGAATCAAGTGTTGATTCTCATGCCAGTTTAACAATCTAAATACCCCTTCGAGCAACTGCAAATTGTGGCCGCCATGGAGATGTGCTGCTCATATCTTCTTTCAAGAGAGAACCTGCTGCTAGGAGCCCTCTCAACAGATAGCCTTACAGTAGCTGGGACAGCCAGTAGGCTTCCTTGCCTTGGCTGGCTGTGCTGTTGAGATCCCGGACGTTTCTCTTGGGCACAGAACTCCTCTATGTGCAATGTTTCCTCCAGGGTTCCCCACTGGGCTGACTTTTCTCAGAAAGTCTTCTCACCTTTCATTCTTTCAGAGGTGAGCTCAGGCTCTCTGTCTGGAGGCATTTTCTGTCTTCTCCTCCATCCCCCCTTGTCTTTCAAGGTACAACCATGAACATATTTCATGCTTCTAACTCTGTCTTGGCATTTGATTCCTGAAGGCTAAAATCAACACAAGTATCTATTTTCCCTTGCTAGGTGAGCTTATGATGAACAGAACTTGATCCCCTTTTCACACAGCTTGGTTTTTATTTGATACATTAACTGTATTCCTGATAAAAATGTGGAGTTTTTTTTTTTTTTTGAGGCAACCATTTACTTTTCAAATTATTTTTGCCCATTGTTACTGAAATGGGCTCCTGTTGGAACAAGTTTGGTCTTGATATGTACTAATAAAGAAAAAGTCTCATGGCTCATTCTTACCAAATTCATGTGGATTTTGCTCATCCTTTTTCATAAGGTCTTCACTGAGATGGCCCAGTTGCTATTTTATTCTCTTCTCTCTGACCCTTGGAGAGTTAAACTGAATAGTTAGCTGCAAAAATGTTGCCTTCACATCTTCTCTAAGTATACCATAGAAATCAGTCAGATGAGCTGCATATAAAAGTACTTTTCCAAACAATGTAAGCAGATCTGCTCATCATCTTTGATCAGGTCTTTCAGCTCTGAAGGTCCCTGACTTTCGTGTTTGCTAGCATTAAATTTTCAGATGCACAGTCTGAAAGAATAGCATAAATTAAAAGTTGATCTCTGCCATGCACTATTACATGGGTTAACCTGAAAATGCCAAATAGCTTCTTGAACAATGGCTCTATTCAAGCTTCAGAGTAAATTTATCTCAAGTTTTTGGTTTCAGAGCAGGATTTCTTGACCTATAGAACAGGTCTAGTCTGCAGTGTATTGAGATTTTAAGAATTGGTCATATAACCAGAAAATATAGCCATTACTTAGGGCCAATGCTATATCTTCAATCATCTGATGAAACAATCGCATGAAGTAGTGGCTCCAGCAGATTCAGTTTTCACCAGGGTACCATCCTTATGTAGTTTTTGCAATTTGCAAACCTCTTCTCCAGATCTACAGGGCTAAAATCTCTGGCAGTGGGGCCTGGAAATATTTCTTTCCTAAAGAAGACTTTGGAGATTGTAATGCTCATCAGAGTGTGGGAATCACTGATTATTTCATTCCCTGAATGATGTAGTCATGGGTTCAAGCACATGTTTAGACACAGTATTTGGCAAAGTATCCCCATAAGAAATTGGCTAGATTAAAGCTAACACGAAATAGATCTAAGTAGTGGGAAATATGTCCTTTTGTTCAATCACAGCTATTGAGAATTGTAGAATGCTTACTATGTGTCAAGCTCTGTGTTTTATAGACCTGATCTCTTTGAACTTCATATTAGGTCTTACGATGATACCATGTGTCCTATTCCATACTTTAGGAACCTGAGGATAGTTTATACAAAGTCCCATTTCAAACAAGTGACAGAGAGAATTAAAGCCCATATCTATGGCCGGCGCTGCGGCTGACTTGGCTTATCCTCCACCTGCGGCGCCAGCACCCCGGGTTCTAGTCCTGGTTGGGGCGCCGGATTCTGTCCCGGTTGCTCCTCTTCCAGTCCAGCTCTCTGCTGTGGCCCGGGAGTGCCAGATCAGCGCAGCGCTGGCCTTACCAGCCATTTCAGGGGTGAACCAATGGAAAAAAATCTTTCTCTCTGTCTCTCTCTCTCACTGTCTAACTCTGCCTGTCAAATAAATAAATAAATAAAAAATTAAAAATTATAAAAAAGCCCATATCTTCATGATTCCAAAGCATGAGATTTACAAGCACTACACAACGGGGCCTGATTGTATAACTGCATTCCCTGATGATTGGATATTTTGCTTATACCTTCCTGGCTTTGGGTCACTGTGCTTGTGGGAAATGTAGGACTTTACCATGGTCATATAAAACTGGTACTGTTTCTAGTACACATGTTCCTTTTAATGAATAACAAAGTATTTAGTGTTCCTCATTCTGACCTTACTGAAATTACAAGATGAGAAATGCCACTATGAACAGAATTATTAGGAAATAAAAAAAAGCATAAAGAATGCAGAAAATGTGTGGAAGGCATATAAAAAAGGGATAGACAGTGTTTCATTGGAGAGGGTATATACTATGCATCAGTTAGGAACAAAGCTTATATGTAGTCCTTCCTGCTTCTAGTAGCAGACTTCTCATTCCTCATCCCTCTGGAGTTATGCATGTCTGCAAGATCCAGAAACACTGTTAATATTGTGATTTGAATTCCCTTGTATCTGTGCAAGTATCACAGATGTGATTATCCAGACTTCAAACTTGTTTAGTAGCTGTGATGGAAATGAAGATATATTAGGATATTCTGCCACCAAGTGGCAATAATGCATCTTTACACCATTGGCTATATTCCTCATAGTATTTACTTCTCTGAATTATTCAAATTTTTTTAAACAGGTACTTGTTGAATTTCTGTGACATATTAGAAACGGACTAGAAATGTTTTTGCAGAAACATATTTTAATCCTAACTTTATATTTCTGATTTAGAGAAGAAGTAATCACATAAAAATGATTTGAATGAATTTATAGTTACTTAGTCATATACCATGAAACTGTACCAGTATTTCCCAGTCAGGGATGGGTTAGCCCTTCACTCTCGTCCCCAGGATGAATTTGATAACATCTGGAGACATACCTGATTGTAACAGCAGTGGTGGGAAGCCCTCTTTGGCATCTAGTGGCCAGAGGGCAAGAATGCAGGGAAGCTAAGCAATGCATAGGGTACTTCTCCCCAGAACCCTAAAGAGTTATCCAGTTCAAAATACCAATATTATCTCTACCTTTCCAAACATTGTTGTTACTTCTGTACCATACTGTCTTCTAAAGTTCTTTAGGCATCTGCCTTACACCTTGCGTCCAATTCCCTGTGTTTCAGATGTGTGTTTACCACCAGCTGGTCTGTGAACCAGGGGCTGTATGTCTTGTGCAGCAAGGTGTTCAGAAGCCAAGTGAAGTCCATTAGTGACATCCTTCCTTCATTTTACCAACCAACAATTTTTGAGCATTTGCCATTTGCCAGTCCTAGCATGAGGAACACTGCGATGAACTAAACAAAGTCTCTCCTTCTGTAGCTTTAGAAGAATGTGGACAATAAATATGTAACCAAACCAGAGAGTAACATAATTGTCAGTTTTACCTATGTTATGAAGGGACCAAAAGGTCTAGCTTGCTCAAGGTCAACTTTTCATAGAGTGAGCAGGGAAAACCTCTCTGAGGAAGGCATGTTTTTTAACTAAAGTGCAAAAGCTGAGAATCGAGTGAGTTAACCAGGATATGGGACTGAAAAAGAGTGTTTTAAGAATTGGGAATGGCAACGCGAAAGCCTTCAGGTGGACAAAAGAAAATTAAAGAATGTTTATGTGACATTAATAAACTATTAGGCTTTAACAAAAAAAGAGTATTGTCTCCATGGGTGTGGTATGTTGTGGAACTCAGTGCAGTTACTTAGCATGATTGGCATACCCACACATTGAGGACCACAAATTAGCCTTAAAATCCCAAAGAAGCCTAATTCTTCACCTTCCTATTTCCATGAATACCTTTTGGATGCACTAATGTCCTGTACTGAATGGAAGAGACGCTAGGTGAATGAGGTTATTAGTGTGTGAGTTCACGAGTAGCAGGCAGGTAAATCCAAGGCCCTTTTTCTCTGAGTCTTTCCCTGTCATGATGACCTGTGCTCAGCCTCCACGCTTCCTCAGAACTGGAGGGTGCATATGAGCCTGAGCATAGTCCTCACATCGAATAATGGCCCAAGGTGTAAATCACAGTTGAAAGTGAAGGGTCCCATTATATCATCTAAAACGTCATATAGAAGTTTCCATGCATTTCATAAATTCATATGTTAGCAGGGCTTGAAGGATGACAGAAGTCCAGTAGACCACTCCCTTTGTTGTCAGAAGAGAGAGTGGAAAAATTAAGCGCCTTGCCTTATGTTTCAGAGTTAGATTATGGCAGAGACAGGTTGTAGTTTGTCTTTGGGATCCCAAATGGTGCTATGCATATAGAATGATTTTTTATATATATGAGGCTGTGAGTTCAGGTACATAACAAATACACTCTCTTATCACATTACTTAAAAATTTAAAAAGTCGATTTCTGATTCTTTTCTAATTATAGCTTGGCCATGACAAGCAACCAAGTATAAGAAGTTCAGAAGATTTCCATTTAAATAGTTTCAATAAGCCTCCAAGACAGTATCAGGTAAGCATGAATTTTTAAAAGAATAAGGCTAGCTATTTGTAAAATTAATATTATCAATTAATATTAAAATTAATATTATCATGTTGTTCTTTTAAAAAAGAAACATTAGGATATTTCACAATATCAAAATAATGCATTAACTAAGAAAATATTTATTTAGTAACTACCATGTTCCAGGCACTTTGTAAGTGCTGGACTCATAAAGTTTTGGAATCATGAAGCTTAAGTCTACAAATTTGTTGTTTAAAAAAAAACCTTACATTGCAAAAAAACATGGAGAGTAAAAATAATCTCCTATCCCACCACTGATAAATAAAACTGCTTACTTTTGGTGACTATTCTATCAGTCTGATTCCATGTAAGTATGTGTTGAATTTTACATACATTTTAATGTAATACAATGTGTCATTATATAAACAGGAATAGTATTTACATAGTACTCACTACAGCCTGTGTTTTTCACTCTAAAAATGTATGTTCCTACTAATTCCAATGGGTGTGTAATATTCCTATTTACATAAACATATGAAAATTTATTAAAATAATCTGCTGTTGAATGGAAAATGAATGCTTTTTCCCCATGCTACTATAAGTAGTACTACTGTGAACACACATATGTGTACTAAAATTCTATCCTTAGGATAAGTTATTGAACATGGAGTTTTATTGTTTACCACTTAACTTTGGAGTTGGCCTATCTGGATATCCACCCAGGACTTCCTGCATGCAAGCTGAGTTTCCCAATTTTTATAAAAATTACTTACTTTTCAAAGGGGAACTGATAGAAATAAAGCAGGACAACCCACATATTATAGTAAAAGCAACACTTACATGTTAGAAATTCAGGCACTAGAGAAATTAACCAGCCCTAAATCAACAGCACACATAAAATCAAAATTGGCCACATTTTTCAGTGGGGCAGTAGATATTTGATTCATTTCCCATTTCCAAAAGTGGTGCTGCACCCCTTCAACCTTCCCCATGAAATGGTTTTATCTTGCTTTCATACTTTTCGAAATAAAAGATAGAGCAATGGACACAAAGCATTTGATATTTGTTCCAAACCTATTCCTTTCTCAAGAGGTGGCTGTGAGTCATTAGCCCTGGTGATGTGAAAACTGCTTTCGAAAGAAAAACAAAATTCGGAAGTGTTCATCCCCTGCCAGCTGAATCACCTAAACTTTGATAGCCACGCCTTCCAAAGCTAAGGGGAGGAAGACTTGGAGACTTCTTCCCAGTGAGTGATTTGTCATGAATATTCAAAAACTGAGATGGATTTCTCCTTTCTCTGTCTAGAAAATAATGAAGAGGCTCATTAAGAGATACGTCCTGAAAGCCCAGATAGACAAGGAGAGCGACGAAGTGAATGAAGGTGAGTGGAGCCCATGCCAGGACGCAGGATCCGATGCAGAATTGAGGGGGAGCTGTGCAGCTGGGTGTGGCAAGAGGGAGCTTCAAGGAGAAGTGCAGGGCAGGCGCTCACTAACCATCAGTTCTGTTCAAGTAGTGAGAAATGGGTTATTTCTCCACACTGGGGACAAATATCCATTGCCAGCTCAAAAGCTATTTTTATGGGAGATTGGAGCAAGGTGAAGCTGCTACCCCAACTCCTACAGCAGTCACTACCATTTCCCTTGAATTCACGTTAGCAGCACTTTGTTACAATTTTGCTTTAATCTCTTTGTTCACCAAAATAGGTCCTAGGGAAGATAGAAACCTACTCCGGTAGGATGTGGTTTCATTTGTAATGATTTAAAATACAGATATGCATGGAATTAGAACTGATTTCATCTTGTCCCAGAATCACTTGTCTCTTTGCATTGCATATTTACAATTCTCATCACTCTTGTTTTCCAAAGGGGAACTGAAGGAGATTAAGCAAGACATCTCTAGTCTCCGCTATGAACTCCTTGAAGAAAAGTCTCAGAATACAGAAGATCTAGCAGAACTTATTAGAAAACTTGGGGAGAAGTTATCCTTGGAACCAAATCAAGAGGAAAGCAATAGATAATGCAAAGACTTCCTTAGCAATATGTATTTATTTGTTCACTTGAAGCCATATTACTTTCTGATTTATTTTTTTAAATACAATTGCCCACTTTTAAACAAGAAAAAGTTTGGGATAACTTGGGTTATCCTATCATCTGGAACCTTAATAGCTAATATTTTAGTGATTAAACTTTTTTGTTCAGGCTAAAGTTGGCTGAATATGGTGAAAATTATTCCCAGTTGTCTGGTGCTTGTTTGACAAATTGCTTTCTTGGGTGTGACTGTTGTGATGATGTGACTGTCATGTAGTATCTGCCTGGGAAAGGGTCAGAGATGGCAAGAGATTGACCCAGTTAATTCCCTGTGTGGTTTAATGTGAATTCCCTGCTGGTGACTTCTACTCTTGAACTATAAAGAAAACTAATCTATGACCATTTAAAGAATCATCTGCTTACTTAGCCTCCAAAGAAGTAAGATTGATGCTGTCTGTGCAGAACAGGCTTACATTTATGCTAAATTCTGAGTCATCTCTTTAAAACATTACACTTAACAATGATAATGTGTTTCATCCACTGAACTCTGAAAACATGGCCCAAGTATGTGTGTGTGTGAGTGTATGTACACATGTAAAATGCCTCACCGATTTCTTTTGTAGCTAATGTGGACATTCAAAAACTCTTTAAGTTGTATCTTTTTTTAAAAAAGATTTATTTTATTTATGTGAAAGAGTTACAGAGAGAGGTAGAGACAGAGAGGTCTTCTACCCACTTTTTCACTCCCTAGATGGCCACAACAGCTGGAGCTGTGCCAATCCGAAGCCAGGAGCCAGGAGCTTCTTGCAGGTCTCCCATGTAGGTGCAATGGCCCAAGGACTTGGGCCATCCTCCACTGCTATCCCAGACCATAGCAGAGAGCTGGATGGGACGAGGAACAGCCGGACTATAACCGGCGCCTATATGGGATGCTGGCACTTCAGGCCAGGGCATTAACCCACTGCGCCACAGTGCCGGCCCCTAAGTTATATCTTTTAAGAGGATTGAAAAATTACTCTCCAAAAAAAGTATAACTTATTGGAGAAGTACCAAAGTCTCAATGTTATTTATTGGTTCAATTAAAGCACAATTTGAATCATTTCTCAGGGCATTTATGGAAGAATTCTCACATTTGGCTAGTGAATGTAAAAGGGAAAATAATGTGGAAATTTTCAAATATTCATATTGTTTTCAATATTTCCTGTCATCTTCCCCAAATATGTAAAATAGAAATTTACATTCATATTCATTCACTAGAAGGTTGATATTACTTACTGATGATGTCAGGTGGCATCTTAAGCAAGTAAAAGAGAGAAACAAAGGTTCATCTCTTTTCCCTAAGACAATCAACTTTCAGAGGATGCTGGACATTAACTGGAAAAGCTGCTTTTTATATTCAATAAAGGGAATCTTCAAATGCAAACTTGATTTCAAACATTAAATCATCATAAAAAATGTTTAGCCCTAACTTTGACTTAATTTAAATGAAAGAATCCTAGTGTAATCATGATCAGAAAATACAGTAAAAATGTTTATTCAGATTTTTGTATATATGCATATTAGTTACTGAGAAATTACTTAGTGATACAAAAAGTCCATTTATAAATGTTGCATGACAATAATTGAATTGGCAGCTGTGACAAATTAACCTCATTCAAAATGCGATATCAGCAAATTAAAATAATGGAACATCCAGGAAGTGTTTGTGTTGTGCCATGCAGGAGACTGGCCTCCACGCCAAGGACCGCCCACTCCAGAAAAGATGTGCAGACCCCTCAGTATCTTTTCATTTAGCATAACTTCATAAGATAACAGTTCGGAGACATGTAACAGGCATGACCATGAGTTTCTGAGTAGAAGAAACTGCCTTTCACCAAGTGGCCCCTATTATTGTTCCAAGTTCATGTCCTAAAGTCAAGTCAGCAGACTTTTCTCAAAGGACAGCTGAATGGCACCTCTTCTAATTTCATTTCCATTGGAAGATGAAAGGTAAACCAAATGTAAAGAAAGATTTTTTTTTCAAAGACTATTTTTTTATTTGACAGGTAGAGTTATAGACAGTGAGAGAGAGAGAGAGACAGAGAGAAAGGCCTCCTTCCGTTGGTTCACTCCCCAAATGGCCGCTTCGGCCGGCACTGCACCAATCCGAAGCAAGGAGCCAGGTGCCCCTTCCTGGTCTCCCACTCGGGTGCAGGGCCCAAGCACTTGGGCCATCCTCCACTGCCCTCTCGGGCCACAGCAGAACTGGACTGGAAGAGGAACAACCGGGACTAGAATCTGGCGCCCATATGGGATGCCGGTGCCACAGGCGGAGGATTAACCAAGTGAGCCATGGCGCTGGCCCCTCAAATAACACTCTAAAAGATGAACACTTCTCCTTTCTTTGTTTCTCTTTCGGCCCTGAAGAAAGATTTTTAAAATTATGAGCTTAACTAAAGGCATATCTCCAAGGACAGTCACAAGCCTCCCAGCCTCTGGCTTTAAATCTTATATTTGCACCACAGTCAGGCTCACATTTTAAAATAAAGTGATTAATAAGTTGAAGTGCATTTATCTCAATTTCTCTCTAGCCTGTGAGTATAAGATACCAGCCTCTACACATCTCAGTTGTGTCATTTCCAAATGGGGATATTGATAGTGTCTACCTTGTACAGGTTTTATAAGCATGAATTAAAATAAATTTGACTATGCAAGAAAAATATTTATCACAGTGCCTGGCACATGATAGGTGCTTAGTAAACATTCTTCATAGTTAGATTAAGTCCCATTTTTCCTTTGGTTACAAGAGCCCTAAGTTCAGATCCTCATTTTCTATTCCTTTCCATCCCTTGTAGTTTGAAGTCAATTCTTGTCATCTGTTTTGTTTGATTGGTAAAATCAGATTGCATTTGTGCTATTTCTCATTTTCAGAGTATTGAGAACAACAGAGAGTAAAACCAAGCATTGGTGTACAAGCACAGGGCTTTTGTCCTGTTCTCTGGTGATGGGTCTGCCATGAGGAGGCAAGGAGTGAAGAGTAAGGAGTGGGCAAGGCTTGGCCTGCAGGGAGTAGCTGTGTGGTCACAGTAGCAAACCTTACTGCACTATCATCCTTTTGGAGCGTGAACTCCGGAGGACACCAATTCACAGGCTATGATCCAGGAATGACACCTATGCCTGCCTCGTATTTCCTGGTGGTCTGGATTGGCCCTACTAGAAGTGGTTGTACCATTATGCGGTTTATATTTGGGTCTCTAGATGAGGAAAAAGACTATACCTGAACACTGCACCTTCCAGTATGTGCCCAGTCAAGTGACAGGCAAGAGTATTAAGCAAAGAAGTCTATGAGCAAAGAGATTTGGCTCCAAAGGGACTGCAGATGTAAAGGAAGAAAACATCTTTTTCTCATCCACCCTAGATCCATGATGATGAGGCCCCCAAATAAAAAAAAAAATTTAAAAAAGCAGATTAACAAGGGAAACACATGCAGATTTACTTAGTATAAGTTTCGTGTGACATGGCAGCCTTCAGAAATGAAGGTTCAAATAAATAAACTTGTATTTTATGCCACGATTGAGGGAGAGTACACTTGTGGAGATGTCTATGGCTAAGAGAATGTCACCCCGTGTCATGATTTGGAGGGAACTGAGCAAGGCCTAACGTCTGCACAGATTCTTCGCCGTGACCCCCACGTCTTCAGAGGTAAGCGTGTTCTCTTCCACTTCTGGAGGGAGGTCTGACGTCCTGCTTCCCAGGAAGGTCGGGAGTCCTTCCTAGCTTTTGTAACCTGCATCAGGGGAGAAGGTGAAGGGAAGAGGAGCGTGACCTTCCCAATGTTGTCATGACCCAAATTTCTCAGCTTAACCTATTCAGATACGGCTTTATTCTGCGAGTCTCATTGTTCTGAAACTGAGAAATAGATTTTACTAGGCACGTAAAACAAATGAGCAGAATCTGCTTAAAACTACCAAGGATCGAAAGGAATAGGACGAGTGTCTGAACCCATCTCCGATGGGGGAGGGCGTCCTGAATCCCATGATATTTATAAAAACAAAGAATAAAGGATGGAGACGTTTATTCCAGGGCAGGGGGCGGCTTGAGCAATAGCAGGAGTTCAGCATGAGCACGCGATGCTGAGGCCTTCTCAGAGGAGCAGCCGTAAATACAGTGGCCATGAGTCAGGGAGGAGAAGGCATGGGCTCGGGAGCAAATGTTTTGACTTTATTTGGGCCGTCTAGCCCACCCTCCCGGGACTGTTTCAGTATGAAAGAATCTTACTGCCACATGAAGAGTGAAATGAGACCTTCAATTAAAATGGAGATTCTCTAGGTCAGTATTTGCCAACCAGGCCCACTGATCAATCAGTCCCCTAATAGAATCACTGTCAGGATTGATTATCAGCTGCTGGCCAAGGAAGAGTCCCAGACACAGATGGTATTTCTCCAGGTGCACAGGCCCGGGTCTGACTTGAGCACAGAGCTGCAGTCTGCCTCTCGCTTTTGACAGTTTCCTTCATCACTGTGAGCCAAAGGGGGTTGATGAGCATCATGCCAATCATTTGTGCAGCTCTGTGCAATGGTGCTAGATACGAGCACACGTGAGCGACTCTGCCCTTTGATGTGGGGAGCACAGGTTTCCGAGTGAGCAAGTTAATTAAAGGCTGCGCAGGAGTGCAGCCCAGCATCCTAAAATGGATGGATGTTGAAAATTCAGCTAAATATCTGATGGTACAAAGTGCTGACTCATAGTCTGAATCTCTTTTTTTTGTTTGTTTATGGCTGAAGTGAGAGATACACCCTGAACTCTCTAAAAGACCTGGGCAATTAAGGAAATATACAATTTTCTTTTTGTGAATTATTATCATGATTGCTTGAATTTTTCTCCCTTACAATATGTTTATAGCTATAGCTATAAAAGTTTCCAGAGGAACATTTAAAAACACTTCCCCAGGATGAGTTTGATAAAACATCTTTCTTTTGGAATCAATTTTTTTTTTTTATTTTTATACAACTGACTAAATAGAGACATCGGCCACCTATATGATCTATCTATCTATCTATCTATCTATATATATTATTATTATTTTTTGACAGGCAGAGTGGACAGTGAGAGAGAGAGACAGAGAGAAAGGTCTTCCTTTTTGCCGTTGGTTCACCCTCCATTGGCCGCCGCAGCCAGCGTGCTGCGGCCGGCGCACCGTGCTGATCCGAAGGCAGGAGCCAGGTACTTCTCCTGGTATCCCATGGGGTGCAGGGCCCAAGCACTTGGGCCATCCTCCACTGCACTCCCTGGCCACAGCAGAGAGCTGGCCTGGAAGAGGGGCAACCAGGACAGAATCTGGCGCCCTGACCGGGACTAGAACCCGGTGTGCCAGCGCCGCAAGGCGGAGGATTAACCTAGTGAGCCGCAGCGCCGGCCTATATTTTTTTCATATTAGTATCATTTGATGGATAATCAACTTATCCACTTTTTGCACACTTCTATTGGAATGATTTATTGAATGCCATCTTACTGAGTGATAGGGGTGATTTTAATCTATGAAATTCACTGTATATTCATAACAACCATGATCTTTTCTAAGTATAATGTTGCCTGGGACACTGAAGGAAAAATCAAAAGAAAGATTGATGTCTTAGTCTATTTTGCCTACTACAACAACAGCTCAGAACTAGCACACATATATTCCTCATTGTTCTGGAAGCTGGGAGGTGCAAGATCACAGCACTAGTAGATTTGGTGCGTGGGGAGGGCCTGCTTCCTGAGACACAGGTGGAGGACTTTCCCCAGGTAGAAAGGGTGGGTGGCTCTCTGCAGCCTCTTTTGTAAGGATACTAATCCCACCCACGAGGGCTCCTACCCCACGATCTAATACTGCCCAATGGTACCACCTCCAAATGCCACCACCTGTGAGAACAGAATTTCAACAAGCAAATCTGGGCGAGGGGGCTACAGACATTAGGACCACAATAAAATAAACTGAAAGTAGACTTTTGTAAACATTAAAAGAATAAGAATTGAAGGAGGAGGGAGAGTAGGGTGGGAAGTATCACTATGAAATACATGAAATTTTTTCACCTTGAAAAAATTAAAAATAAAAAATGACTAACTTAAAAAAATAAAAAGAACTGAGTATTTTTCATCTTTCTTCTTCCTCTAGTGCCCACTCTGCAAGTCACAAGGCTTTTATCATTCTCCACTGATCAACTATGGGGACAGTGTTAGCTCTCAGGAATGTACAAGACATCACAACATTTTTTTCCCCTAAATCATGAGAGAAAACTTTGATGCGGACATTCAGGAAGTGAGTATTGAAATTCACTGCCCCGCATTTTGTTCCTACTTATTGTCCAAGAATACAGATGCTCGTATCACCATAAGAATGCTCTTTTCAGAATAAATTAAATTCACTTATTACCATGTCTCATGCTAAGAGAACTATGGCAATGCCCTGCCTTTGCCGTAACCTTTTCAGTAGTCTGATTCAGCCATTTGACATTTACCTTTCACTCTTCAGAAAATGGACTTTCATTGGAATAATTGGAAAAGGTCAAATTTTATAGCGTTTTCTTGTATTTAAAAAAACATGGGGGCCAGTGCTGTGGAATATTGGGTAAAGTCACTGCCTACAGTGCCGGCATCCCATATGGGCACCAGTTCAAGTCCCAGCTGCTCCACTTCCACTCCAGCTCTCTGCTATGGCCTGGGAAAGCAGTAGAAGATGGCCCAAGTCCTTGGGCCCCCCACCAGTGTGGGAGACCCGGAGGAAGCTCCTGGCCCCTGGCTTCAGATTGACACAATTCCTGCCATTGCGGCCAATTGGGGAGTGAACCAGCGAATGGAAGACCTCTCTCTCTGCCTCTCCTCTCTGTATAACTCTGACTTTCAAATAAATAAGCAAATATTTTTCAAAAAAACAAGAATGTGTTGTCATGATGTTGCTAAGTTTGTTAGCATGCTGAAGAACACACACACACATGCATATGTATGGTCTGCCATGAGGTATAACAACCACATAAAACACACATAAGAGGGTACATCAAAAAGTTGCTGGAAATGGAACTAAAAGAAGTTTATTTTTGGTGCAAAAAATAAAATCCATGCATATGAGAGGGTTTTGAAATGTTCATGGAAGTATGTATTATAAAAATTATTCATGGGTGTAAAAAATGTGCCATAATAAATTTATCTTTTAACTCCATTTCCATGAACTTTCTGAAGCATTATTTGACCAAAGACATCTTTCAAAGCATAGGAATCTACCATCCTAGAAAAATTATTGTGCTTATATAGATTTGTTTTCCTTTTCTCACTTGTCCCTTCTTTTTTTCCTTCATTTCATTTCCCCCCCACACCTTTCTTAGTCTCTGTGCGTTATCTATCTCTTCTGAGTTCTTTTTAGCTTAGTGGTTCAGAGCACAGGATCTGGAGCCAGAAGGCATGTGCTCAAAGCCCACATGTGACAGCTACCAGTTGTGCGCACTGTGGCAAGTGTCTTAACTTTCCTGAGCCACCTTATTCCATTTTTACAGGAGAAAAATTGAGTATCTTCTGTATTGAATTTTTGTGAGGATGAAACGAGTTAATACCATTTAGGCTTGGAGAATAGCACTTGGCACATGGTAAGCCTTCAGTTAGTGTCGCCATTGTAGAGAAAGGCTGTGGCTGACAGCTCCACAATTCCCTTCCTCACCATGTCTTAACTCATCCTCTCCTAATCCATATAAGAATGAACAGCATGCAGGGTTCTACTCAGGTCTCCCTAAAAGTTGGTACACACTGCCTGCAGCATCATTCTAAGGACTCTAAGGCCATAGTCAGAATCCATAGGAAATAACGACATAGAATTAACAATGCTTGCCATTGCTTGCCAAGAACACATATTCGTTATTCTTGAGAAAAGATAAATCACATTGGAGCAAGATGTGGGAAAAGTGAGCACCTTTATTACTTTTGATCAGAATAATTTTGTATCATTTTATTTATTTTTAAGATTTATTTATTTGAAACTCAGAGTTATAGAGAGGGAGAGGCAGAGAGAGTGAGTGAAGTCTTCCATACTCTGGTTCACTCTCTAAATGGCCACAATGGCCGGAGCTGGGCCGATCCAAAGCCTGGAGCCAGGAGCTTCTTCTGGGTCTCCCATGTGGGTAAAGGGACCCAAGGACTTGGGCCATCTTTCCCTGCTTTCCCAGGCCATGGCAGAGAGCTGGATTGGAAGTGGAGCAGCTGGGACTTGTACCTGCACCCATATGATATGCCAGCACTGCAGGCAGTGCCTTTACCCACTAAGCCACAGCACTGGTCCCTTGTATCATTTTATAATAGCATTATATGTGCCATATAAGATCCTGTTCATGAAACTTGCATTTGAAACTTCTGATATTCATTGCAATATCCTGAGTGCTACTTCCAGTAGGAGTACTAGAAACAAAACACAGTAGTACATTTATAAGCAACAGATCTAGTTAATACAAGTTACTTGATTTATTTATCTTAGGGAGTCATATAATACTCATGTCAGATGGTTGAAATTTGAGAAATTCTTCAACATGCTTAAAGAAGGAAAGGAAACCCGGATTAATTTGTGTTAGGTTTAGTTACCTGATCCAGCTTACGGTTTCATCGTATTCCTTACATATCAAACTGTGTAAGGAAGCCTGGACATCGACATCGTCCAGTCATGGACTGGGGGGTTCCTGATTCATTCTCATCTCCCTCTTGACTCCTGACTCATTCACTTCATACATTTTATTTAATAAGAAAGTTCTCTTTGGGTCCAAGGAGTAGGAATAAATAATAATCACAAGTCAGCTTTTTCTTTTTAACTCATTTATGGGTCCAGCCTATCAGGTTGCCTCTGAGCCATGATCCAGTTTTCTTTCATGAGCCACAAATAGGATCCAATTAACCCCTGGCAGTTGTCATTCATTTACTCAACATTTGGCCTCACCGCTGGGCAGGATCCAAGCAGCTCATCTCAGTTTGTTGCTTCTGCCTGACTGTCCATTCTGGAACCTAACTGCCTTTGCTTACAACCCCATAACACTGGTAGGTCTGACCTCAGGAGATGTTTAAGCTTTTCTCTCTTAAACCACTGACGTCTTCCTGATGGCTGATGAGCTCAAGGAGGCTTTGTGAAGAAAACCTTGATGCCAAAAAAGATCAAGGACCTCTGCCGCCTTTTGGATGGCATCAATCAGGGCAAATCAGAAGTCCTCAATACTGTTTGTGGTTTGGAGACGTGTTTAATATGTCATAGTATTAGAGTGGTTTTTCTTTTCTTTAGCAAGCCTTTTTATCTAAGCAATCTGGCCTCAGGTTGTGACAATATGAGGACATAAAGATTTTTTCTAGCAATTCATTTATGTCTCGGAATCCAGACATGAATTGTAAACTATCTGCTTCTGACTGTAACCACTGAGATAATTTACTTGATTCCCAATTCCTCATTCTCCAAGAAGGCAACAGGCCAGCAGCCTTTGTTTTAGAATAGTTTGAGGGGCCGGTGCTGCGCTACAACAAGTTAAAGCCCTGACCTGCATATGGGCACCGGTTTGCCTCCCAGCTGCTCCAATTCCAATCCAGCTCCCTGCTGATGTGCCTGGGAAAGCAGCAGGAGATGGCCCAAGTCCTTGGGCCCCTGCACCCGTGTGGGAGATCGGAAGAAGCTCCTGGCTCCTGGCTTCGGATCAGCTCAGCTCCAGACATTGCGGCCATTTTTGAGGAGTTAACCAGTGGCTGGAAGACGTCTCTCTCTCTCTCTCTCTTTGTCTCTACTTTGCTCTGTAACTCTTTTAAATAAAATAAATCTTTAAAATTAAATAAATATTCTTTAAAAAAAGAATAGATTGAGAATTGGAAAAATATCCATAAAAATACATGACCAGAAAATTAAAATAATGCAGCACTCAGTGTGCCTTTGCAAGGAGTGTTGAATGCCACTTTCGTCCAATGCCTTCTCTGTACCTCCATGCTTAGTGAGCTCCTGGGACTTTGTGAGTGCTCAGCAACACGTGGTTTACTCAGTCATTTCCCTAAAAATTAAAACAATAACTGAGACATATTTCTGCCCTCAAGGAATTCTGAATCAAACTTGCAGCCTGTTAAATGCTGTGAAAGCCCCCAGGAAGAGCACAGAGGAAGGCATACGGGGCTGAGGAGGTGGGCTGATGCTTCAGTTCACCGAGTCTTCTGGTTGGAGGTAATGTGCCTTTTGGAGAAGTCTGCGTACAGACGGAGGCATGATTACTTCCCAAAGATCCTAATAGAGAAATTCACATGCCAGCAACTTATGAAGAAATGGGACCAGGAAAAACGGATCTAGAAGGCTGAAAGCAGAACAGGGGAGGAGAAAACCGAGAGCTATGTGATGCAGGCAGAATTCTTCTAATGATGACAGCAACCTGGTCCTTGGGGGGAAACCTGAAGTTTTACACCTGAGCTGGACTTCCGTACTCCTTTCCCCTTCAGTCATTGGTGAAGGGCTGCTTCAGGGAAGGTCAAGTCCAAGGCCTTTGCAGCAAAGCCTCCTGTAGCCCGAGAGCAAGCCTGCAGGGAGACTGGCAGGTGCAGGCATTACCAGCAAACACATCCAGACAATGGGGAGGAGCACCAGCAGCATCCACTCCACCCAATGTACAGTGCCAAGGACAAGGTTCTTTGTTATCAGGTAGTACATCAAGTTCCAAAGTGCTATTTGGTTTCTGTGGAAGCAATTTGAGACACAATATCTAGTTGGAGTTCACTACGGAGATGGATTGGATCCTCTTGAAATTAAAGAACACCTCAGTTACCTGGCATTAAACCAAGCGATGTCTGGACCCTCCAGGGTCATTTGACAAGTGGCTGCTCACTCCATTTAAAAAAAATGAGTTTCAGGGGATAATCTGCATTTACATTCCTCCTCAGGAGCAGGGTAGGCCCTTCATGGTGGCCACCAGCAGTTCTTCCTTTAAGTGCAGGTAGAATATTTTCCTCTGAAATGCAATTTTAATGGGGTTTGTAATTAATCAATTATCAACACTCACCTGAATAAATTTACCTGGATCTCTAAAGAATGAGACCTGGGGTGGCTATAATGCGAATTGGGACACTCACATCTCTTGTTGGAGTCTCCAAGTTCAATGCCAGCTCTGGCTCCTGATTCCAGCTTCCTGACAACGCAGACCTAGGGAGACAGTGGGATTGGCTCATGTAGTTTGAATTTCTGCTGTCCATGTGGAAGACACAAATTGAGTTCTCAGCTCCTAACTTCAACCCAGCTTAGCCCAGGCCATTCTGGACATCTGGGGAGTGAACCAGCAGATGAAGTCTCTTGCTCTCTCACTTTCTCTCTTTCTCCTCTCCCTCTTAAATACATATTTTTTAAAAAAGAGAGAGACTCAAAATTGGTAACTTTACCCATTTGAGTGTCTAAGTGAAGATTCAAATTACAGGATTATTTTGTAACTTTATAACCAAGAACACCATAACAGTGCCTCTGACCTGCAGTGCAGCAGGGATATCTTAGATAGCTATGGAGAATGCAAGAGCCAAGAGCAGCCTTAGTAAAGTGCAGCCCAGAGTACCAATGACAAACTTCCCTGGACGTGGCCTTGTTAACAGTTCTCATATTCCTATTTCCACCAAAAAAAGACCCTGCAGTGTCGCTCCCCCTCTTCATGGAGGAATGACACTAAACCCTGCCTAGGCTTCATATCCGTGTCACGGCACCATTATGTCGCTCCCCCTCTTCGTGGAGGAACGACACAGGACCCTGCGCTGTTCTTTCATCTGCTCGGCCCTCCCCGGGTTTGCTGCTGGTTCTTCCCGGGTTGGCTACTATCCCTTCCACCTCCGTGGAAGGGCAGTTCCCCCTGGCCACATTCCCCACTTCCGCAGGGGAGCGGCACACCGCCGGCCGGCTTTCTCGGGGTGTTCCTTCAGCTAGATGTTCCCCATAGATGTTCCTGGTGCATGCCGTCTCTCTCCTCCTTTATAGTCCTCCTCCGCCAATCCTAACTCGGCTGCCCACACGCCGAGTACGCTGCTCTCCTTCAATCAGGAGCAGGTCCTGCAGCTTGTCAAGTTGGTGAGAGGCAGCTGGGTAGAAGCTGTTGCCTCCTCTCCCAGCGCCATATTGTGGGAGAGCAGATGCATAGAATAAGTCTTAATTCCAGTAACTCAGTCTAGTCCGGGTTGCTCCCCACAGGAGAGCAGATGCATAGAATAAGTCTTAATTCCAGTAACTTAGTCCAGTCCGGGCTGCTCCCCACACTGCAGAAACCTGGGAGACTCACAACCCATGGGGTTAACTCATAGGCAGTTTCAGAAGTCCTGGCACATAGTGGATGCTAAGAAACTGTGCACTGAATGAGTACCTTTGTTGAATGAACTCTTTTTGGTGCCACTTGAAGCCCCACTGGGGCTGGCAGCTGCAGCCTGGGACCCCACGCAGAGACTTCAGGACTTACTGGGCAAACTTTTTGGTGTGGGTGTCTCAGGAGCCTTCTCCAGCTCAGTCAACATTGAGATTCAGTGAGGGGCCCCAGGGGTCTCTGGTGCTTGGGGAGCTGGGTCTGTCCACCTGCCCCAGGAATCTGCCTCGAGACTGCCAGGAAGAGCACAAGGGTTCAGCCTGACTTGTGCCCTCTTTGTTTCCTTTGTATCTGGATGCTGGCCAGACCACACGGTACTCTATCCAGAGCGGGAGGTCACACTGACACGGCTCAGGCAAGCTGGTGACAGGCCTGGAGGAACCGGGCAGGAAGCAGCCCGGCCTGCGGGTGTTGATTCCTGCGGCGATGTGGTTCAGAATAACACACACAGTGTCAGGGACTTGTCTGGAGAGACAACCATCCCCCACCAACCCCCACACGGCCACCACACCTCCTCTGGGAGCCTTTCTGGGGCCCACTCGCCTCCGCAAGCAAGCTGTAGGAAACTGCCTCTCTTGTGAGGTTGCAGCAAGGATTAAAGATGAGGATGGACGTGAAGTACTCGGTCCCCGAGGATCTCACGAGTGGGCGTCTCTGCCGGGAAGTGGGCTGAGATGGTGCCTTCTACACCTCCTATGTCAGGCCTGCCCCTATACCCAACTCAGTTTTGACTTGCTACCCCTGCTTAGAAAATAACCCAGGACAGGTCTTGGGGTGTGCACTGGAGCCAGCGAAGCCTTAGGCTGAGGTGAGAGCAGACCGCACTTGCGGGGGTGGGGATGACTCTGGACTGGAGCCACGACAAGGCCAACACACACAACACTTGTCTACACTGCTCGGTTTGCGTGGGTCTTGACCGAGTTTTGCCTGCCAACACCTCATGGGTGTCACTTTCCAGATGTGACTGCCTTCCCTGGTGGGGGTGCAGCTTCATCCTGGGTTGCGTTCCCAGACTCCCAGGGTCTGGCCAGTAGGGCATTAGTCCTTTGCACCCCAAAGTCAGCTGGGTTACCTCCCCTCTGGCAGGACTCCACTGCTGAGTCTCAAAGACACGGGCACTCTTACGCCTCGTCCGACAGGACCGCTCCCTCGCTACCTCTGTATGAGCCTCTTGAGCTCCAACTCCAGCGTCCCTTGTGCGTCTGCGCCCCACCAGTGACATGGTGCTGCGAACAGCCAGTCTGGGATTCATTTACTGCATGGCAAACGTGCTCTCAGAGCCTAGCAGGAATAGGCTTTTTTTTTTTTTCTGCCAAGAGCCATTCGGATACTTATAACTTCATTCACGGGCCATACAAATTTATCAATGCAAAACTGATACAGATTTATTGAATTTGGAGTGCCGCCCGTGGTTGCCTTGGCAGGGCCAGATGTTCCCCACCCCTAACGTGAATGCACGAGGTACCAGCCTAGGGATGAAGGGTGCAGGGCAAAACTGCGCCTCCTCCTGGAACTTGCATCCAGGAAGGGAAAATGTAGGCAAGAAAACAAATGAAACATCGTGTATTTAAGGTGCTATGTGCTTGGGAGAAAAATGAAGGTTAGAGAATTGCAGGTTTAAATGGGGTGGTCAGAAAAGGCCTCATGGGAGCATCGGCAGGAGGTGGAGAGGATGCTGAGCAGGGCATTCTGGGGGTGCAGGGACCCCAAAAACCAAGAAGCAGGAAGAGTGTGTGTGGACTTGAATACCAGGAGGAAGGCAGGGCTGGGCAGAGGAGAGGAGGGGACAGTAGGAGGAGTACTGGTTGTGGAGAGCCTGGAAGGCCCAGGCTTGGCTCCGAGTGGAAGGGAGAGCTGCGGTCCTGTCCTCTGCCTGCGGCCTGTCTCCAGAGACCCGGCCCTGGCCCTGCCTTCCCTCCCCTGAGGCTGCACGGAGCTGGGAGCATCACAAGTGATGCTGTGTCTCAAAGAAGACCGACCAGCGGTGAGTGCTCTGCCGACGCACCTGCAAGAGCTGAACTGTTGGGGCCAGTGCAGGGGCAGGGTAGGCTAAGCCTCTACCTGTGCTGCCAGCATCCCATACTGGTGCATCGATTCTTGTCCTGGATGCTCCACTTCCGATCCAGCTCCCTGCTAATGTGCCTAGGAAAGCAATGGAAGATGACCCAAGTCCTTGGGCCCCTGTACTCACATGGGGAGATGCAGAAGAAGCTCCTGGCTCCTAGCTTCAGATCAGCCCAGCTCCAGTGATTTTGGCCATTTGGGGAGTGAAGCAGCAAATGGAAGACCTCTGCCTCTCTGTCTCTCCCTCTCTCTGCCTGTAGCTCTACCTATCAAACAGATAAATAAAATCTCTAAAAAGAAGAGGAAAAAAAGGGGGCACTGACCTGTTGCACAACCTGGGTCATGCCCTACACCCCCCTCCCCCAACCAAACACACCCTCCTGCTCCCACCGCTGTCTGGGGAATCTCTCTCCCCTGTTTCTCCCATCCTGTCCCGTAATTTCTCTGACATACTTTCTTTTGCCCCTGGGATGCCATGAGACCAGTGCCAGCCTCGGGGTTCTGTAAATACCTGCTAGAAGCTCAGGCCAGCAGATACTTGGCTGCCTGCCACGAAGACCAGGTCTCTATCCTGTCTCTCTGTGCCAAGAAATGGCAATAAAAAACAGTATAGTGCCTACTTCAGGAATTAAAGGCCAAGGGGAAAATCGCTTTAAAAGAGGCGTTTGAAAACCTCCCCTTTTCTCCTTGCGCTTGACGAACCTGCGCCCACATTTTAGTCCACACCACCACTGGAGGTAGGTGACTGAAGCCAGCCAGGGCCAGGATGAGCCCTAATCCCCCTAATCGCGATCTGGCGCCACCTTGTGGCGGCGGACGGGCGGTGGCGCAGCTCTTCCTCGAGCGGGCCGACTCCCAGGGGAGGCCCAGGCAGCCTGTGCTCCAGCTGCGGAGCCATCTGCCAGGCGGCCTGGAGCGCTGTGACATGGCCTGCCACTGCTTTATGAGGTCAGGGGTGGGCTCTAATAACCCTGCTCAAGCTTATGGCGTTTGAGATGGGACCCTGAAGGCCATCTGAAGAGCAAATGCAAGTCGTTCCATTACATCATCTTCCCCAGCAGAGTGCTACCAAAAGACGATATTTGGAATTTGCAAGAAACTGCATTGCAATAACACCGGGCATATCTAAAAATAATAAAAATGGCCAAACTGAGAAGACAGCTATTTTATCATTTTTAATTATTACATTTTCAAGGTTCTTATGGTAGAGTAATATTAGAGCAATAGCTGTCTTCTATTAAACACACATAAATGCCAGATTCAGCACTCGATCTTGTACCTGCATTATCTCACTGAATCTTCATGATGACTGTAAGATGAGGATATTCATGTAGCTATCAAGGATGAGAATATGCAAGACGCATCAAATGAAGACAGAGCGAATGACTAAAAAAATGATATGTGGTACAACTGCGATTTAAATACCCATCTGTTTGGAAAGTATCAGTGAAGTGTAGGGAGTGCAGATGGAGGAGTTAAAATGCCTTCATCTCATGCTGTGGTTGCTTTTGTGGATGGAGGGCGGTTTGCACACATTAATGGTGTTGCATCAGGTCTGTTATAGCATTGCAAAAATGCAAGCATTTCAACTCCACTGCAATGCCCACTCCGAGAAGCACAGCAACTCACCCCATGCACTAGTCCAGGCCATCACAGCCAGGGGTCTGCAGAAACTCAGGTAATGGAGTCACACCCTGTCACGCCCAGACTTAACGAAGACAAAATATTCATTTTGGTTGTCTCCAAAGGTCGAAAACTGTGAGACTAACACAGAGAGCTCTGTTCAGGGGAGACCTTTAGTTTTGTTTCTTGTCTGTTTTGAATCCCTCTGTGTTCCCTCAACACATACATTAAAGCAAAAGCCAGCTCTTCTGTAGAGAGAACACGGAATCTGAGCTGTGTGGCTGAGCAACGATGTATGCAGAAAGTTCTGATACACGGATGACGTAAGTTTGTTTCATTCCTCTGGCCACTCGTTGAATGCAATACTTTACAAAGCATGTGAAAAGATGTGCTAGGAGTCACTGTGTCCCTTGGTTACTTTCACAGGAGTATTTTGATCTCATCTGACTATTAAAGTCCTACTTTTGGTACTCAGAGTAAGAAAATAATAGCTGAGCAGCTCCCACACACTTCCAGAATGTTTACTTGATGTGTTCCTTTTCCCCTCTGAGTGTGCTTTATGTTACAGCTTAACATCTTTTCTGATTTAATCCTCACGGCAGTCCCCATATAGAGGCCATTGTTCTCGTTCAAGACCACAATTCTAATCCCAGCTCTTTAAGGCCAATGTCAGTACTTTGCGCATAGCAACTTGTAATTACAAAAGAAGAGAATCGTTTCAAGGGAAAGAGTGTTGAAGCAGTCCTCGAACTCAGGTCAAGTTGCTCCCGTCTGTCAGTAGGGAAGTCAGGAAAAGAACAAATTGTCTTTCAGTTTGACAAAGATGGAAGCAAAAAGCAGATTGACAAAAGAAAACCACCAGAGGGCGCCCATGCCCCTTCTTGTAGATAGGATTCTACAAGAAAGATGTTCACCTGTCTGGCCTAAAGGAAGAAGGTTCAGCTGGGAGGTCCCACTTCATAGTTTCTGCATCTGCTTTTCATGGAACTTAGATTAGTAATAATAATTACCTACAAGCAAACAGGGAGCTGAGCTTTATGGATGCAAATAACTTGATATTGCTGAAACTATCTTAAAAGGATTTTTAAAAACTCACTAGAAGTGTTTTTTTTTTTTTTAAGGATTTATTTATTTATTTGAAAGGCAGAGTTACAGATGGAGGAGAGACAGAGAGATCTTTGTTCCGCTGGTTCACTCCCCAAATGGTTGCAGCAATCAAGGCTGGGCCAGGCCAAAGCCAGCTTATTTGGGGTCTCCTACGTGGATGCAAGGGGCCCAGAGACTTGGGCCATCCTCCCACGCTTTCCTGAGTGCATTAGCAGAAAGCTGGATCGTAAGTGGAGCTGCTGAGACTAAAACTGGCACCCATATAGGATGTCAGTGTGGTAGATGGTGGCTTAACCCACTGCGCCAACAGCACTGGCCCCTAAGGGGGAAAACAACACCTAAAAGATGACTTCCATGGGATAGTTTTAATTTCCTCTTTTAGGAACAGATAATTAGTCTGAATAATCAGTTCTGTCCTATATTGCCAGAAAAATCAAGTTTAAATTGATACAGAATGATCCCTATCCCCATGGGTCAACCACCCTTCTCATCTGCTTACCTCGCAGTGGTTGAGTGGGCGAGCGACCAAAGCCTCTGCTTAAACACCCCTAATGGCTCCAAGGTGATGTCCACATCCCCCAGCTACCATTTCTGCTGTGGTTTTGAGCTGCCTGCTTATGTGTATCAGAAATAAGCACCTCCAAGATGTAACATCCATGATGTTTAGATTCGTCTTCTCCTGCCACTGGTTACAGCTGTAGCCTTACTCATAAAAACCTGAAAGAACTAAAGAGGTGCTGACGCTGGCACCCATTAGGAGTAACAGGTGAAACTGAGCTATGGAAAATGGAATAAGCAGCAGCTTACGAATAAGGAGAGACATTAATGATGACCTCTGCTCTGGGGTGTAATTGCTGCCCATGCACAGCAATGGTTTTCCCCTGCCTTAATTAGGGAAAGAAACAGGTAGGCCTTGAGATCTTCCTGCAGGATGCAAAGAGAGCATGAGGAGGCAGAGAAAAGAACAGCAAAGATGCTCTAATGGGTTTTCCATATCCAGGTTGATTGTTGAGAAAGGAAAGAACAGCTTGTTCTATTCTGGGTAGCATGAGCACTGTAATTTGTGACAGCTATAGGTCATGTATCTATTTTTTGTCTGATGAGGACAAGGAGCAGCTGGTGGCTGGTACAAACTCAGATTGGTTTGTTCAGGCCATGAACTATGGGGATAGAACCTTGGTTGTCAATCTGAGGCATAAAAAAGATAGAGTATACAGGTAAGGCTTGCATATCTGTGCAAATTTAATTGGAGCTAACAGGTTTCTGACTCCAGGTGGGAAAATGAAGCTGGATGATTCTAAAAACTGTGCTTCATTTCTTCGTGGTCTAAAAAGATGGTAGGTTTTACAGCTCTGTCATAGTCCTTTGCTTTCTTTATGGTTACCTTCAATGTGGCTAAGTCTAATTAACAGCGGTTGAGTTCTTATTTAATCTCTGGCACTGTGCTAAGCACTGAAGCAGGGAGATGAATGTGACACACTACCTGTTCCTGCAGGATGAGTTTAACACGGAAGACAGACAATCAGCTGGGGTGAAAATGATGCTAATAGATCTGGCACAAAAGCTGCAAAGATGCGGTACAGAGAGGGAGTGATGTACTCTGCTGTAGAGTAAGGAAGTTGTAGAAAACTGCTCTGTTGATGGGAATGAGAATACCGTATTAAGGAATGCAAATTTCTTTCCAGCACATCATCCTAAATTTTCCCTCCTGCAAGCGGATTTAGAAAGTGTTGACGGTGGAAAAGCCTATTTTATCATCACAGGTGGAGGTGGCTCCCAGGGTGTGCAGAGGCTCCCATGCCACACACTAAGCCTGCTGCTTTGACTGCCTCCCTGTTCAAGTCTCCCTGCTGGCAACATCAGCCTCATGGTGGCCTTAGGGTCTGTGGTCTGAGCACCCCCCTTCACTTCATGATCTATTTTTTTAATATTACAATTTTTCTGTGATTTTTATTGGATTTCTTTTGGCTACCAGAAGATGCCGGCACAGGTATCTGGCCAGGGCGTTCCTGTTTTTTGCAGGCTAGAAGTGCTGATGTTTTCCTTAGGAAGAAGGCATCGTCAACACTCCATGCACTGAAGCCACGGGGTGACTGCATGGAGTTAAACTGGATCATTTGTTTCCTGGCATCCTCTAGTTTTTAACGTGACCATTAATTCTGTCCTCCTTTTTTTCTTGCAATTCTTAGCCATGCCTTCCACTACCTCTCATTTTACACACCCCTGCTGTACCTGCCAGTTCTACCACAACACACAGGCCTCTCCAGACACTGCCATGTTTCCCTGGGCAGAGGGGGAGACTCAGGGGAAGAGGAAAGGCTGCGATGTCTTATCTCACCCATATAGGAGTAGCAACCAGCAATGTGGTTTCCTTTTTGGGAACTGATGCAGAGGGAGCAGCATAAAGATAGAGAATAAGTATTGTGCATTGGAAACATTTCATAATTTTGGAATAAAACCATGTCCTCAGATCCTCAGTGGAGGGAAGTCAGCCACAAATACTTAAATATTGAAATAAATCCTCAAAGGTACATGAACAAATTTTATGGAATCTGTTTAAGAAATTCCACGCATGGCCAGTGAATCCTCCATCTGCAGCCCTGGCATCCCATATGGGCGCCAGTTCAAGTCTCAGCTGCTCTACTTCCGATCCAGCTCCCTGCTAATGCACCTGAGAAAGCAGCAGAGGATGACCCAAGTGTTTGGGCCTCTGCATCCATGTGAGAGACCTGGAGGAAGCTCCTGACTCCTGGCTTTGGCCTGGCCCAGCCTCAGCCCCAGCCGTTGTGGCCATTCTCTGTCTCTGCCTCTCTGTAACTCTGCCTTTCAAATAAAAGAAAGAAATTGCGTGCAACAATTTTTCCCAAGCCCTACATCCCTAGGATTTTCAGTATCAGCCAAGCACTTCAATCTTTACCCTTTGAGCTGTATTCTCTGCTTGAGTCCTGTTGTACTGATCTACCTAGAAAAGAGCCCCATACTCCAGGGAGTCTTTGAGAAAGCGGCTCACTCAAAAGCAGTCCAGGCTGTGTTTACACCATAGCACCTGCCAGGAAGCTTCTGAATGGGATGCTTCCTGGCGGGATTGGCCGATCACTGGATGGCGAGGTAAACCACGATTGAGGAGGCTTTCAAACACATGGGCAGTGTGGCCTCACAGCCTGCGGTG